AAAAAAAAAAAACGCTGCTCAGTTGGTTTTGTTCGTTTTAAATAGTTGTTAACAAATGCTGATAGGTTTTGATTGGATCGTCAATTGATGTTAGTTAGCTTTTTAGTGATCTTCATTATGAGAAACGTAAAAAAAACATATTTGTTTTCAGCAGTTGTTGATTGCTTTTAAATTGATTTTAGTTTGAACTTACATGGTTCGGATGAGCTTATATTTGATTTCGAACAGTTGTTTTTTCGACGTTAACAGGATTGCAATATAGCAAGTTGTGCGACACGAATGACATTAAAAACATTTGCTATTATTATATGGGGTTTTCGAGTAATCTAAAGAAAGCGCCTTTGACGCAAGGTCCGTAAGGGGTAGCTCAGGAAGCAATGCTTTAGCCTTTAATAAGCAATTCAGGTCTCAGAATCAGCTCTCTTATTGGGGTCTTAATGTTTCAACGTGTAGGCTTTAGCTTCTAGAGCCTTACAATTAGAAATTAAAACTCCAAGCTAAACCTTGTTGTGTTTGCTGGGTCTGGGGGTAATGTTCCTTGAATCTAGGCTGCTTTCCGGCCCAAAGCCCTAATTACATACGCAAAACAATTCTTGAAATCTACGGGATTTGATCAATCAACAGTACGGATTACCAGAGTGGCGCTAGCGACAACCACGGGGAAGGCGCAGCCCCCACTCATTTGCAAACAAAATGATCAGATGTCAGGCTGGTCGGACGACCCTCTTGGAGAATCATCTCGCAAGCAACTCTTGCAAACATCGTAATGATGAAAACACTGTTTACATCAAAGAGTCTTGGGCCTTTGCAAATAATTAAGGTCATGGGAGGATGCTCCTCGAGGCTAGCTTGTACAGCCTTGAAAAATGCGGCGGGGTGGGCAGTGGGGGCGGCACCCGCGAGCTTCCGTGGACCTTCCGCGAGGCAGGTTTTCTGACGCCATCTTTTCGCAGGCTCCTCCGCGGACGACTTCGTCTAAGTTGCTTCCGCGGCGCTTCCGCAAAAGGGGTTTCTAGTCTTCGGTGCTATCCGTCCAAAACCCAAGCTGTTCAAAAAAGTTTCCGCAAGAGCTTCCGCAAGCGAAGTGATTCCGCGAAAGCTTCCACGAGCTTCCGCCTGCACAGTGGGAACTACTTTTCGGAAGTTCTTGCCGGCCAATTTCTGAAGTTTGTTCTGTACGGAATTAACTTTCCTTTAGCGCCTGCTTTTTAAACTGCTCACATGGATGACATGCTGCTCGGATGCACCCCTTCAGAAACACTGTTGCTGGCACATCCCTCAAGCAAGGTGATGGGACAAAACTCCGTTTTTTTACGAACATATCGATCAGATGCAATATTGTTTATGACGAACGTCTTGAAAAATACTCTTGCCCGCAACTTTTGCAAACATGGCAATCAGAACACGGTTTAAGGCTCAGAGTAGCTCAAGTAAGGTGATGGACGATGATCTTTCAGGCTAGCCTGCACAAGCAGAGCGGGGCGGGTGCTGCCCCTTGAAGGGACCGGGCACCGAGAACCAAGGGACAAGAGGAACTGGACCATAGAGCAGGTGGACCCAGCAAAATCCAGCTTTGGCCAAACCACAAATTATTGGCCCCGATCGCTTGCCAAAACCTGGCCCAATGCAGAAATCAATCTGCTGCTGCTGCTGCCTATGTATCTCACGGAACACCAGAAAAGCAAGAGGCAGGAAAAAGCAGGAAGCACCAAAACAGAAAGAACCTCCCCCCCGAAAGCCCAGCGCGGGGTCGCCAGGCCCAGCGCAGGGTGGGGACCCCCGAAACAGAAGGGTTCCGACGATTATCGGGAACTGCTGTATTCCCGCCGTTTGCAGTCAACTTCTTTGTGGTGGCACTTGTTCACCGCAGTGGTATTCAGATGGTTGCCGGTCAACTTCCTTGTGGTGGCGCTTGCTTAACCGAGTACAATTGTTGCTCTCTCACCGCAGTGGATTTCATAGGATTCGCGTGGTATCCCCACAGTTCATGGTCAACTTAACTTTAGCGCATTTTCTCAGAGCGGAATTCTCATGCTCCAGGGTCAACTTCAGTATGGTGGCGCTATTTCACTACATTGGTAGCCCCACGAATGTCAATTTCTTTGCGGTGCCATTTTCTCATCGAAGTGGCTTTCTACGCTCTTCGTGGCGGCGCTGCCTCCGAGCCGTGGAATCCCCCGGATCTGCCGTCAACTTCTTTGTGGCAGCACTTTCTCACAGCAGTGGTATCTGCACGGTTCTCATTCAACTTTGTCATGGCGACCCCACTTGTTCACGTTCAACTTCTTTCTGGCGCACTCACGCTTCTTGGTCAAATTCTTTGTGAAAGCGCCTTTTGCGGCATTGTACACCGCGTAGGCATGAGGTTGGCTCTACAGGACCATGGCTCGTGAGCAGATATATGCTTCTCCATCCATTACCAGGCTTGGACTCGTTTGTTTTTCTCGCCGGTTGTTGACGGTGTTTGTTGCTGTTGTCTGTATTGCTGTCGCCCTTCGCGCTGGAGGTGAAGACGTTGTTTTGCCAGGCTACTCTCCACTCCACTCCACCCTATAGCAAGCACCAAGCAGGAAGCAAAGACTGAAAAGCAATGACCTGAAGAAAGCAAAAACCAGAACGCAGTAACCAGAAAGCCAAAAACAGAAAGCCGTAGGCTGAAAGCAAAACGGAAAGCAACAAGCTCAAAAAAATAAGCAGCCAGCAAGTGGCAGAATGCACGGGCCCGCACGAAGCAAAGAGCAGAGCAAGACACGGAAATCAAGAAGCCGGAAGCAAAAAGCACGCAACTGCAACAAAAAAGAAAAGGAAGCAGCAAAAAGCAACTCCCAGAAAGAAAGTCCTTGCAACAATGCACCCCCATCTGCAAATGCTGCACATGTTCCGGTATTCCAATAGTCTAAGCCCACCACTGGAAGTCTGGGCAAGATCCGATTGCAGTTGCATCAACGCCTCCGGCAGAAGAGCAGGAGCGCACAGAACTGTCAGCCTACTGCTAAGGTAACAGGTTTACTTCTCCAGCATGTCATCTCAGCTCAAAGTCGTGCTTATCAGTATTTTGCGCACATCCTGCAGTCTGCTTCTGCTTTTGCTTCATGCCTTTCGACGTTTGCTGGTCATACCAAGGAGGCCTGCAGTTGTTTGAAGTCTGGCTTCTTGTTCGGGGGCGCCACTGGTCTTTGGATGTGGACAGGCTGAGCAGGCTCTCGCCTTCGACTAGGCCAGTGAGGCCAGTGCGAGCACCTTGCTCTTGAGCACTGCTTGGTTTGCGGTTGCCACCTTTCTTTCCGTTCCTTTCTTCTTGTCTGCTCCGTCCGTGCACGCAGGTGCCAACAATATCTCCGTTTTTCGCTTTTGATCCAGACTTTTGTCCTCCCGTTCAACGGCCCTGCGCCGTGATGCAGATATCACACAAGAATCACAAGACCTCAAGCACAAACCTGATCTGACTGAGGTCAACGACGCGTATGGCCTGCTGCGTGTCTGCAAGTTCGGCTTCGAGTTGGGAACGCTCAGAGGCACGGAGGAAGCGGGCGGCTGCCAACCTTGAAGCAGCTTGGCGTGGCTTGGCTGCAGATGACTTTAGCTCTGTAGCACATACGGTGACCAAAGGAACCTGGGCTTCCTGCACTTCTCGCTGTCGGTCTAGCTGGGCCCGTCCAACAGAGGCTTCCGCTAGCGATGACTGCATCTCCTGCTCCTCTCCACTTTCTGATCCGACTGGCAACTAGGAAGCATTATCTTGCACTGAATGTTGCACAGCCCTAGCTCCAGCTGCTCGTTGGCACAATGATGTCCACAGCGCTGGGCCACTCGATGCCAGCTCACCAGCGACTGCAACACCCACCAGTTTTTGCAGGAATCCCAGCATCTGCCTCACTGCAGAGCTCAATGTCATGACGCTGCAACTACTCGTCAACTTCAAGGTTTGTGCCTATCACTGCGGAAGCATGGCGACGATGCGCTGCTGCCGTTGCCAAAGCTTCCTGTCGCTCGGCGCCACAGGTGGCAGCCACCTGTGCCTGCACCTGCATCCATACAGCTGCAGCTTGCAGCAGCTTGCTGAAGCGTTTCCAAAAACGGCAGACGCGTTGAATTGCCAGGTGGCGAGTGCATCTCTCCAGGCAGACCAGGCCCGGAGCAGTGGAAGGCAGATGCCCCGGCGGCCGAGGCCTAGCCCGCGCCTTGCTGCGAGCACCTCGCGCCGCCAGGCCCGAAGCACCTCCCAACATCGCGACCTGCATTCAAAAGATTGAAAGCCGAAAAATGCTCGCTGAACCGCCTCAATTTTCTCCCAGCCTGTCTCGTCCCCAGCGCTGTGAGGAGACAAGGTGTTGAGCGTACTCCCGGAGCTTTTCCTTCCTGGAAGTCGCCTGGTAGTGTGACAACTCAGCCTCTTTGGCTTCCAGCTCCGACCTTACAAAATCATGGCCCAATCTTCATTCTTATTCAATATTGGCAAATTTTGGTAATTGCAAGAAGCAGATGCCTCTGTCGTTCTCGGCGGCACTTCGTGGTCGAGGAATGCCACGCCCAGAGCGCCACAAGAGCATCGCGCTGCAGGGTGAGGTGCCCGGCTAGTTGCAAGTGCGATGCAGCCTGGGAAGATGAGCTTGACCTGGGCTCCAACGCGGTTCAAGGAACAAACAAACAACGCCTACAGCATCATAGCACCGCCCGAGGCGCCAAGACCGCAAGGCCACCACAACGTGTCGCGCGACTTGACTTCGCTCGAGCCACAGCAAAGTTTGATGTGAAGCTAGTCGGTGCCGCTCACGACGTGCAGTGAGGCGGCTTCGAGACAGTTGAATCTCAGCAGAAACGCCAGCCTGTCATGCATGCTATGCTCTCTGAAGTGTCAGACAATGTGCAGCGCAATGGCTTCCGGAGTCCTGCTCAACAGCGAGTGCCTCCTGCTCGTTCTGAAACCTCTCCTACAAGTACGTCACCCACCCACACAGGACGGGAACAACTAAAGAATTGGCTCCTCTTCACGCCGCAATTCTTCCATGAGCTGCGTGAAGTGACACTCCGCCTGCTGAAGGAGCACATGAAGGGTCTGTTCACACAACCTGTGCACGCGAAGAACCAACCAACCACGTGCGGCCATGTATCATCACATGGCTTATGTGTTTATACACGGGACACGAAGTTAGGGGTTCACGGTCCCATCAGTCCTGGTAGGACATGGTGTTGGCGTTGTTGTTGTTGTTGCTTCTGTTGCTGCTGCTGTTGTCGCTGTTGTCGTTGATGCCGCCGCCGCGGTGGTTGTTGTTGTTGTTGTTGTTGTTCTTGCTATTGTTATCGGCTCCTGTTGCAGTGACTGTGACTGGGGTGGGTTTCACGCTATCAGCCATCTAGCGATCAGGGCTTGTCTATCACTAGTCCATCTGGAATCAAGGCCAGTCGTTGAAGTCCGCAATTCAGGCACTGGGGTTTACTACACCTATCACTCCTTTTGCGATTCTGACCAGGGGCTTCTCACTGATGATCCTTGTGGAATCAAGTTCCTTTTGCCGATTAGTGGTTCTCACCCATCACTCTTTCAGGGAATGCTTTAGGCTCGCCAACCTGGAACAGCCAGATTTCACAAAAGGGTGTATGGATGTGGCTTTCCAGTTTGAAGTTTCAAGCAGTGCTGCATGGGTTCAGGGCTTGGATGTTAAAGTCACAAGCACTTGGCCTCAAAAGCGCTAGGCTTAAAACAATCACATGCGATGAATAAGCAAAAATAGTCACGAGCGATAAGAACATTGAAAGCGACCGAGGTTTCCTGCGCCAGTGGATCCCAAGCAGTTGAAGTGCCAAAAAACCCCAAGCACTCAAATCCCAAAGCAGAAGTTCTTCTATTTGCAAAACGTTCTCCAATGAGGGCGCCAAGGGCACTGCAAGTCTGCAGGGCTGGAGAGCACACCACACCACACCACAGCTCATCTCACATCAGTACAGGTGCACCGCAAAGAAATGAACCAAACCGCGAAAAGTCAGCACCACCCGCAACATTGCAAATTCCCAAACGACAGCAAAAGTCCACCGGATGCAGGAGGGCAGAGGCTGACTGTAGGAAAAGGCATCACTGCGCGACAACAGCCCCAGCTGCAGAGCTTTGCAGCATTGCACAGCTAAACTGCACAGTCACGAAGATTCTAAGAGTTCCCAACCTTCTCGGCAGCAAGCCAAGACCGCCATGCTGCCAGCGACCGATACTTCAGCCAAACAACCTCTTGGCAACAGCCATGTTATCGGACTTCACATCTTCAATTGCTGGCCTGTGCGCGCTGCAGAGGGCCCTTCTTGCCCTCGCACTTGCTAAAAGCAGCTTCGCGCCGTCGCAGCAAGGCTTCTGCTTGCGCCCGGCTCCGGGTAAAATCGGCCGTGCAGCGCTCCTCGTGAAAGGAAGATACTCGATGACAGGTGAACATAGCTTGTGTGCACATGGTATCTGCCTGTCGAACCAGCTCATCGGCCCACCTTGGTGCGAGGCAGGTCTCGGTACTTTGTTGGTGCTTTACTTCTCGCTGCCGAGCAGCCGTGTCTGCCATTGATGCACGCTCGAGAGCTCTCCTCCAAGTGCATCAACCCGTGGCCCGCTTTGCGATCGCTCGGCCATCCCATGTTGCACAAGGTGTGCAGCATTTATGCTTTGAGGACATGAGTGATGCTCCCGCCGTGTGCGACTGGCAAAGCAATGTGCGGCTCCGCTTGTTCTGTTACAGCTTGTTATGGCCCGGATCCTGCTCTTCTGCTCATCTACGCCTTCAGCAAAGAGCTCTCATGATTATAGAGTGTATTGCTGCTGCTTGCCCTTCTGCTGCTGCACGCACTTGCACCTTGAGGCTCACACTTCAAACAGCTTCTCAAAGCACGCTCGTACTGGAAGTCCTAGAAACTGTAGCTGAAGCAGAAAATGAGCGAGAGTCATGCTGGGCCGACACAAGCAGTGCAGAGATTCTCCTCCTCTGTTTTGCTTACCCTTAGAGTTAGGAGGGGCTTTAGGATGTCTTTTCGGTGAGACGTCTCCTACAGCGTGGAGTTCCTCGGTTCAGAATGTCCACGCCTGCACCTGCAGCAAGCATATGAGGGAATTATCCCTTGACAGGCAAACTTGTCTGTTTGGCACCCACATCATAGTGGACCTCGAGAGTGTTCTACATACGCGACCAAGTCTGTGCATGTTTGTGCTTTCCATATCGCTTTGGCGTTTTTGGATTGCCCACCCTGCAAACTTTGCTCGTCTGCATGGTAGCACTCCTAGCACTGTGATCTGGTTCGGTCCATTTTTGGTTTGGTTCTCAGCTAGACAACTTTTTTTCAGGAGCACTGCTTGCAAGCAAGTTGGCCCTACACCTCTGCTGCAACTTTGTGGAAGGATAGGTGCCCAGCCACTTCACAGCTGCCACCAGCAGCGCACCGAGCCAGCGGACCGCGGTTTGGAATTCGAGCACTTGGCCGGTTCGCTCTCGCCATCAGACTGCAGACCAGAACTGTAAAAAGCTTCAAAACGGAATGTGAAACTGTGAAAATCTGTGAAACCGTCGCCTCCAAGTCGACAGGTCCAAGGAAAGCGTCGCTGCTCCGAGGCACGTCACGCCGCGCGTTTTGTGCATCGCTGGCACTTTCTAGCTGGCCGGGGCTTGTGTGAGGCTTCACAAGATCCAGACGCTCGAGACGGCGCCATCGTGCCGAACCAGCTGGCCAAACAGTCGCCTCCAAAGCTCCTCAAAACACACCACTTTCCCCGGCAGCCAATCTCCCAGATCAGTTCCTACCTTCCGCGCGCTCCGGCCGTTTTGGTCGAGGAAGCATCGGGGCCTCAGATAACAAGGGCATTCCGCAGAGCAAAATTCACGGAAGCGTAGCTTCAGCAGGCCTGGGAACTTGGAGGCCGCGTCTCTGTACTGGCACTGTCCAAACGACTCTCTCCAGGAGTCTGTGGCAGGCAGCGGCTGATAGTCCTTTAGAGCTTCAGGCTTCTGCAAAAGGCTCAGCTTTGAGTCTTTTTTGCGCTGCAGCTGCTCCACTTAGGTCCTGGGCGTGCGCAGGCCAGAGAGCTCATGGCTCAGTGATTGGCTCCAGTGACTCACCTCCGACAACAACACCACAAAGCAATGTAATTCACAACCATGTTTGTTAGACGGATGTTTGCTGAATGTTCGTGGCTATTTGGTTGTGTCCTCTCGCCAATAATTCTCCCGTTATCCGCGACTCGTCCTGTGTGGCCAGTTAGTCCTGTGTGCAGTGATCTTTGCCCTACCCCCCATCCTGTCATCACGGCCGCTGCAGAATTAGACCTCTTCAACGCTCGCCTAGGACTGCTCAAGGCAAAGAAGTCTGTTTCAGTAAACACTTGTTATAATGCTGGAATGCTTGAGTCAGATCTTTTGTGCCTAGTGGATTCTGGGGGCTTGGTTGCGATGGCTTGAAATGCATGGCCCAAAACGGACCCCGTTGTTTAAACGACTTAGTGAGGAGCCATCAATCGGACCTCGTCCCGGGAGCCTTGCATGGAGCTATCCGGCCACACCGCAGCTGCCAGCAAGTTGAACCAGGGCTGTATGACCACTACTTGGTCTGCCTAAGCTTAGCCATGGTCTAACTCAGGCATCACTTCAAGACAGTTGCCATGCTTTCCAAGAGTCGGTTGGATTCGGAATCTCTGCCTCCTTCCAGCAACATGCAGCAACTGCGCAGTCTCCACAAGGTTTTGGCACGAGTTCTTCCGAGACACATCCAGGTGCAAGGATGGGCGATTCTTGAGGGCATGCGGATTTGGCGGCTTGGCCTGGCAGGCAACGAGTTTGCACCTCGACCTTGCCTCAAACACTGGGCATATTGGGCCTGTGGGCATCGCTGTCCTGTAATCTCTAACCTTAGTAGTTAGTAGAGCAATATCCTGACTGCTGACTTGCCCACTGCCCACCCACCCAACGTATCAAACTACAAAGGTTTGAGGTATATCCGAGAAGCTTCTTCATGCGGGCTTCAAACGAACGATTGATGGCCACCCCAGCACCCCGAAAGCGCGATGGGCCATCTTCTGCCATGCCCGATGTCCTCCCAAAAAGAAAACTTCTGAGATGAAAGCCTTACATTGCGGTTGACACACACTGGCTTCTGCATGTCATCGGCGTCGCGCCATGACCTGCACAAGATCAGCTATCAAGAGCTGCATCTTCAGATTCAGTTGTTGTCCGCACCCTTTGCCGCCGAAGGATACGAATGCAACAGAATGACTCTCAAACACAGACCGCCCGTTTCTTGGGGGACTACGATTAGAGACTGTGCACCCTGCCTCAAAGCGGCGTCTATCCAGCGGCCACACAGTAAGAGCTTTAACCCAGACAGAAGGCGAGAAATGGAGCACAAGCTCCGACCAAATCCTATTAAGATGCTCCTCTTGACCGTGGCTGAACTCCAACTGCAGTGAATCTAAGATTTTTCGGGCATGGCTGCTGTCGGATCTCGTCTCTGGCTCTGTACCTCTGCCGACCTGCCTTAGCCTTGTCCATGTTAATTGTAAGTTTGATCAGACCCGCCCGACAGTAGGATCTAGATTCTCACCCACTGAGACAGAGCTTGTGATGATTTGTGATCAGCGTAGATGTGCAAGACAGTAGGATTATAACTTCGCATTGAAAGCCGCACGGCTCCAGCAGCTAAACAGCTGGGCCTGCAAAGCATGGAAAACTGAAGTGGCTTTGGGCCTGCTGTCCTGTAGCACACTTTGGAATCATTACCGCGTGAAACTTGTAAAAGCTGGAAGCTTCTCATGAGCAAACCGTAACTGGTGTTGCCTAAGTGCCTGTATCTGATGCTGGCTCCCAGGCACGGGTGACAAATCTTCTGAAGCTGAAGAGCTCACAAAACTTTCAAGGGAGCCAGACCAACACTCACATGCAAAATCATAATTCGCGACGCTGTTCAGGATTTATTTGTCCTTGCAGCAACAGCCGCACAGCAAAAACGGACAAGGGCTGATGGGACAGCTCGAACTAAAACTACATGTGATGATGATACGATGATGTCGTTGTCCTGCAACTTCTTTCGCATTGCTGCCAGCTCGTCATCGATGGCGCTGTTTTCAGTTATGGCCTGACTCAAAGCAATGAAATCAACCCCTTGGCAACAATTACAGCAGTCACTGCAAATTCGCGGCTGTGTCCTTCTTGCCCTTCATTCTGGCCAGCTCATCATCCACTGCGCTTCCTGCCTCCAACCTGCTACAACGTCAACAAGCTACAAAAACCTTGCAGGAGTAGGATGCGACAAACTTGACCCTGCGCAGCTCCATATGCAGCCCGAGGAGCTGCTTGAAGCGGTCCTCACCAATCAGACGTTGAACATGTCAAGAAAAGCAAGCTTGTGGAACCTCCAAGCTGCCGGTTGCTTGCGCCTCCGGAAGCAGCCCCTGCGAGACCTCCCGCATCGGCATCATGCACATCGTGTCGGCCATTGACGATACCACGTTGGAAGTAAGTATTGCTCTTGCAATCAACTAGCGCGGTCCCTGCAAAAAACTAGAGAGCCGGTATTCCACATCTTTATTGCTTGCCTGGACTTGGGTGAGAAGCTGATTCAGAGAGTGTCTCTGCGACCCCGTTTCAACAGGCCTTCCATCTAGATCAGTCAGTCAGTCAGTCAGTCAGTCAGTCAGTCAGTCAGTCAGTCAGTCAGTCATACGCCAGGTGGCGCGTGAACAAGTAAGGTTGCCCGTCATTCGATGCCGGACATAAGGATTTTGCACGAATGGGATGTTTTACGGTGGCTTTCAATGAGTTGACATGTTTTGTCCCCAACATCGTGACCTCATTGTCATTGTGGTCCCATCACTCTTCTCACACAGTAAACTCCCGAGAGATACATGGGGTGAGTCGTATGGGAACCTCCACACTGGAGCTGTCATATCAGAATATTTCAGAAGAATCTCAGAGGCGGCAGGGAAAGATGCTTTGCACAGAACTTCTGTGTTTTGCACTTTTGAAATTAACGCGAGTGACCATGCACTCAGTTGCGTCGGAGCAGCAGATTGGGACAGACACAGACTGCACGGCGAATCTTAAGGATCTTCATTCCAGCGCCCTGCTCCCTGGTTGGCCTCAGCGCGGGTTTCCAGCATCTCGACCTCCACACATCTCCACACTAGCAGCGTCCAGGGAAGCTTGAAAATCTGCGAACGCGTGAGAACATGGCCTTTTCCTTCATGCGGTCGAAAGCACCAGTAGAACCGACACTGGTCACATCAGAGAGCATCTCGTTGACCTTAGTGTTGTGAAGAGTGCAAACATCATTGTGTCCTCTTTCGGCCGCCAAGGCTTCTTTGGCTCTCGTGTGTCAAACGCCGGAACGGGAGAATGGGCAACCAAAGATCTTCAAACCCCTAACCCCTTTGCACCTGCGTTGCACCTGCTAAATTTTCAGTGCCCTACCAGCCGTATCTTTGAAAGGGGTGCTAAACACAGCGTTGCTACCTGGGCAGTCGTCTTGGCTGTACGTGCACGTGCGATCAGCTGCTCCTTCTCCTTAACAGAGGCAGGGTCCTAGGCTGTTGGCTCCAAACTCTCCAGCATCCCAGCCTCCTTTGCCTGCGTGATTTTCGCCTGAACATTCGACCCACGAAGTCTGCTAACAAGAAGGCCACTATCACCCGATCTGCTTGGAATGAGTCTAGCCTCCAGGGCTTTAACGGACTCGAATAGCTTGTCCACATTCCTGGAGCAGGAAATAGAAGCTGAGCTGAAGCTTCCTACGTTCTCGAAACATCCAACTTTCAAACCCTGGACAGACGCACGTACGCGGCTTGCATTGACAGTCGGGTAGATAATGGCAAGGGTTGGCTGTCCCTGCCATCGCGTCGATCTGCGCCTGTAGATCTGTAGCCTCGGCATGGCTGCTACTGAACTTAGAACTCCAACCACTCCAACCCTGGCAAAAGCAATTCAAAGAGGGTTTGTAAGTGTCCCAAGCTAAAGCTGGCAAAAAAATGGACGGCCAAGGATTTTGCAATCAAAAATTATTTCAATATTTTGTAAGCCGCAAACCCTTGTATTGAAAACTCAGTTTGCTCTTCTTTCCTCATAAAATGGAGATTTGCATGAAAACCTCGAAGATCTAATTTCTCGAATTTACAACCATACGGCTAGTCAATCCAGACAAAGTACTGTTTTGCAAGGAACCCTTAATTTTTTTTGGGGGGGGAAGAGGTTGAGAGTTGACTGATGGATTCAGCCTATTAAGGTGTCACGTGGGTGTTTCAGGACGGTCAGATTGTAAATCAAGTTTCTGTAGGTCTCCGACTTTGGTGACCGAGTTCTGCCTCCGAGTTAAAGCTTCCTTGGCAAGCTCGTCATCGCCTTTCTCAACCTTGATTACGAGAGGCTAACAGTGACACGAGAGAGGTCGGCAACGGCTGCAGTGGTGCTCTTGGACAACTCAGAGAGCGGCTGCCATCTCAGCACGCTTGTACCAATCTTCAGCCAGCTTGTCAGCTTGCTCCTCATTGCAAGGCCAAGAGGTGGGTGGGGGGGGGGCGGGCCCGATTTCAAGACAGGCATGGCGGCCATGAGGAGTCCTTCTGGGTCTGCAGTCTCCTCTGCGTTGCCAACACCTAGAAGTCGAGAATGGTCACTTTTCATTGGTCAGCACATGTGTCGGCACCTCCGCATAGGATTGCCTCACTTTGATGAGGTCACCCTGCAAACTGCTGGCGCAGCAGCTTGAACACCCGCAGAAGCAGATCCAAAACTCACGAATGATGCTTACCGGCCTGCATGTCATCCAAGGCCTGATCAATCTTCACGCAATTTGTGTCTGTGACATCTCCAACACTTCAGCACTGTGCAACGCAACGAACAGAAGATGGTATGTGTTGTAGAAAATGCTGGAGCTGAAGCTCAAAGACAAAGAGCTGCACGTGGCTGGGTATTCTTAGCTGATGTACCAGTGGGAGGGACGGCCCCGCGGCCCCAAGGCCTGGTCCAGAACCTTCTCAGGATCTTCCAAGCCCTGCAGTACCTGAGAAGCCGGCCAACTGCTTTGAACAGTTTGCACTGAGCATCTAAACCCTCAACGGCTTTCTTCAGCTTCTCGAGAAATCTACAGCATGAATGCAGCTCAAGAGCCGCGTGCTTATGAGCGCAAGCTGTCCCAACTCAAGAACACGCGTCTCTCTGAGAGTTGCAGACCTGCGCGTGCCCTGTACAACGCATTGTGTGAGCAACCTCTTGTCAAGGTCGTGGATAAGTTTGGATAAGTGCCCTTAAGTCGGTGACCAGCATTCCAACCAAGATACTTGCTCCTTGGTATTCTCCACTTGGGCCAGGCCCCCGAATCCAATTTGGCACCAACTATTCGGAAGATGTTGGTGGCAGTGTCTGACGCACACACACACTGCACAGTGCGGTCAGACGAAAACCCCAAGAAGCGTAGGAAAGAAAGCGAAAGCTTCTGCGCTTTCTGCGCTCAGCTACGCTCAGCTAAGCTTCGCTCAGCTGCTGCCGCTCCAGCAGGCCTGAACACCAGGACACTCAACTCTGCGTCACTTCTGCATCCTCACTTTTCTGCCCTTTGCTCTCGATTCCAGTCTGTTTGCTTGGTGCTATTCCACTCTCGGTTTCTGACCCTCATCTCGAGCACTCTGGTAGGCGTTGCGCCCTTCCACTACTGCACTACCGTAACCCGCATTGAAAGGCCCGGCATCACTTCTGCGCAAGGCTACGTCTTCGCGTTTGGGCCGGTGGATTGAAGGGAGGTACATGTCAAGATCATCGTACTTCTACTGATCATCCAAACTTGGGTTGCAGTGCTGCTTTGGCGGTGCTTTGTCGGTGACCCATCTCACCTCCCCTTCTCGAGTTGTGCCCAAGTAAGAGGCTTGTATGACATCACGTCATGTCATTTCGCCTGCGACGGCCTTCCAAACCCTAAACTACCCTGATCAGAAGAACGGAGAGAACTGCATATTGCACATGGCGTGGAGGCCTGACTTCCATGCATCCACAAACGTCTGGATGGAAGCTGCAGTGATTGGCCCATCTTCAGCAAGAAAGTACGCTCCTTGAAGCAGACTGACTCTGGCTGCCCGATGACACATTGGTTGCCGCTGGTTGGCTTTATCTGCCACAACTGCACAAGTAGCGACTACAACTGGCCAAGGCACCATCACTTGGGATGTCCATGAGCACCATGCTGGCGGGCAGCTTCTCAGGATGCTCATGCTCAGGCGGCAACGACTTCAAGCCTAAGCCAGGCTGAGTAGGCTGCGGACACTAGCCGTTTTCCTAGATCTTGCTGGGCACCGCAAGGGAAACTGCCTGTTGCTTTCATGTACCGCCTTATATGCAATGAGATGAAAACATGTCCAACATCAATGACCGGCGCGGCATTTTGCCTCAAACACGTTTGAGGCGGCATGCTGGACCTAATGGCCATGCTACCTGAAGTCCCTGTGGATGGAGGAGGAAAAACCTACATGGACTCCTGCGTTGCTTACATTCATTCGTTTCTGCCGTGCAGCCCAGCATTGGTCGAAGCTGGGCCGCCAGGGACGAGTTTCCCGTTGCTATGGTAAACGCAACTTCAGGCACATCTGCTTTTGCCGCCTGCAGCAGGACGTCTGGCAGAGTTGGCAGACTTTATTAGTCAGCCCAGACCCACCGCCACCTTCTGCTGCTCTATGTACTTGGAGGAAACTGCCGACATGTGCTCCTCAATCTCTTGCTGCTCGGATGGGCTGCTTGCCTCGCAGAAAACCTCGGATACTTCGGACTGCCATCCATCCACGACTAGACATGGTCACTTCTGTATTTACAAAGGGGCAAGAAGGAAGCTACATGCCTACTGCTGGAAAATAGTCACTGGGCAGATCGGTCTTCCTCAAAGCACTGTAGAGATGTCTTACATGTTTTTGGTCATTTTCTGGCTGGCTCAGTTTGATGCGAGAAGCCAAAACGGTTGCTGTCTCCCCGATGTCGCCAGGACCCCCCGACAGATTGTGTACCTGGGGGCCACAAGAAGTGACCCTGCACCAAGAATACTGCGGTCCGATCAACAAGCAACAGAACTCAAAGCAGCCAAGAGGCTGGTTTCGGGTGCCATGGAATGCTACTGCCCTCAGGATCTTGAGACACTGCTTCTCGCCCCTTCCAGAGGATAGCAAGGTGTGCAAGCTAGGTATTGTTGGCCTACTTCAGCACTTGGCAGTCTGCACTTGTCTGCATGTGCCTTCAGCGTCACAACCTCCAGATCCTGATCCAGCACTACCTTAAGCTACACTAATGTAGCGAACTGTGCAGGCATGCACAACATGGCGCGTCAGGGCGCATGTGCCGTCAAAGGTGTCCAGGCTGACAAATCTTTGCTGCTGGAGATGCAAGAGAAGGGATACCCTCGACTTTGAATACTTGCGAGAGCTGCTCCTCAAAGCTCCATGGGCTGAGTAGCAGCATGGCACGCGAATCTTACATTGGAGTGCAACTGCTCCTTGAGAGATCTGTCCGAGTAGTCAAGGGCCAGCCAGGGCATTTCTTTGAAATATTCTTCAAACTGGTCCTCATCCCGGTCGGATGATACAAAGACAACCTCTAGGCCCTTGGCGCTGAGGTCCTGCAAGAGTGGGACCGTAGTGGCCGCTGTGTCAGAGATGTCGACATATGTCAGGCTCCTTTTTATACCACTGGGCCAACTGCGGAGTGAAGCCGCGGCATGGCGGGCACCAGTGAGCGCTGAAATACCTCTCCAAGTACCGAAGCTCCACCCTGCAACAGCCTGCAACTTGACCTTTCAGGATCTCGTGCCAAGGTTCAGTGCAAGTGCCTTTTTCCCAGCCATCGCCTGCCATGCAGCTTGCCATCTTCAAAGAGCTTCCCAACTGTGCTGATACTGCAACTTGACCTGGCCTCTGTCACAGACATGCCTGCGCCCGCGGCGCTTTTCAGCTTCATTTTCTGGAGCAAATCGCGTGGCGTCGGCGGAATCCTAAGATGCCAGGTTCATTGAGAGAATGGGCTTGTAAAAAGCAAGAGCGTTCAGCGCAACAGCCGTGATTTCCAAGCTTCCAAGGGAAGTTGTGACCTTCAGGGTCTTGTGCAACAGCTGCTCGGCCCTCAGTGGTTATGACCTTCCCATTCGGTTCCAGGATTACCAGTGCTGGAATGCCGCGCACCTTCGCATCGTGTGCTGAAGACTGCCCGTATCTGCCTCACGGTTTGTCCCACCTTGAACTTCTTGCTCAGTTGCTCGTTGATATCCTGGAACGGAAAGCTGATGTTTCCTGCAGCACCTGTGCTTCTGCAGATGTCTGCGCCTTCTGGGCAAAGTCCAGAGCAAGCCAAGGCATTTCCGCAAAATACTCCTTGTTGCATGGCTCTGCTCGCGAGACGGATAATCAACGCTGCTATCGAATTGCAGAAAGAGCTGCTGAAGTTCCCAGCGGGCTTACTATTGCCTGCTTCCTTGGAAGTCTTTGGCGTCCTTGAAGTCTTCTTCAGAGCGGTCGCCGGACACGAAAACAACTTCCAAACCTTTGGCCAGCAGATCCTGAAGGTGGGCAGATAGAGTCAAGTACCAAGCCAAAGAAGATACTGATACAGTATGAGGAGGTCCTTTTCATACCATTCTGCCAGCTTTGGTGTGAAGCCCCGACAGGGCGGGCACCAGTGAGCACTGAAGTACCTGAGCTACAAGGCTTCGCAACGCTTTGCAAGGCTTGGCAGGCTTGGCATGCCAAAGCGGACCGATGCAGGCTCAGATACAACGCAACCGCTTTGGCGTTCTTGAGAGCCTATTCGTTCTCTTTTTGACGAGTCCGTTTGCTCCCATGTTTTGAGCGTCCCCACACGAACATACCCGCAGTGCCTCCGCTGTGTCCTTCTTCTCTGCGCCTTTGGCCAGCAAGGAGCTGCCGAGAAGGTCAACCAATGCCATGGCGAGCGGGTGGGAGGAGGCAAGGGGCAAAATGATGCAAAAGCCACCTGCGGGAAGGCCTCGAAACGCTCGGCTCAGCCGAGCTCAAAACACTTGTTCGTTTTATGCATACTTTGATCTCTTCCGAAAGCCGTGCATCCTGCCTTGTTCACGTTCGCTTTCGCAACTCGGGCGAATCGCTCGAAAAGATTCTCACCAGCAAGGCGAACCTGCGCTCACTGGACAATACTCCTCACAACTCACAACTACCTCTCAGAGCTTGGAACCTGGAGGCATTCACTCAAGCTTGGCCACTTAATCGCGCGCGCGCGCATTAACAAAATTCACAACCATGTGCATGCTACGCGCTGTAAAGCCCTCCGGTGAAGCCCTGAGGCCCTTGGGCTGTTCAGCCAAGTCACGGTCGGAGACGCTGCCCGTGAAGGCGGCAGACGCCTGCAGATCGCTGCTCGGTTCCTTTCTCTCTCAGAAGGGCTGGCTTCCAAGGCAGCAACTGTCCAACGAAAGCAGCCCCAATCTGCATGCACCTCATCGTCATCAGCCATGAACAGGGAAAACCCATGACGGAAGGCAACGACAAAGAGCAGTGCAGAATGTCCATTGATGCTGGCTTGCTTGCTGTACACTTCAGAAGACGTTCGCCCATTCATTCATTCATTCATTCATTCATTCATTCATTCATTCATTCATTCATTCTCTAAAACGCGAAGTTGACGGACTACCGGTTCAAAGCGGAATACAGTTTGTGTCGGGCTCTAAATCCTGCTCATGTAGATCTGCTTCATCTCAGTTTACCCCGTGTGTCTTTCTGAATCTAGATTGCCTCATCAGTCAACTGCAGCCAAAGTGGGATGCGGAGTTTCCACACCCATCGTGTCGAGCAGCCGCCCTCCTTAGCAACTCCACCACCTCCAGCGACCCAAATCACGTTGTACGGTGCGGGAGCAGCATCACATGCTGTTTGGGTTGCTGTTTGGACGCGAGGACTGACCCTGAGGCATCTCTCGCCAACGCGGCCCAGCCGGGAAAAGTGGCACTAAGGAATGATATGTAGGAGTACATTGGGATAGGTATATAGTGAACAGTAAATCACAATTCAGATTAATTTCACAGCTGGATTGCCGGAAGGAAATTAGTTATGCAAAGAATGTCAAGTAATTCCATGCTTCCTGCCGGCTAGGGTCGTTGTCTGTTGTTTTGTCTGCGGAAGGCCTGGACAGTTTGGTGAGCCTTCACTCTCATCAGACGAATCATGCCAAAAGTGTTTTGCGCCGCCCTGGTCACCTGCTGTTAATCTGAGCATCCAGACATAGCTGCAGTGGCCAGGGCTGCAGACACTGGCAGCCAACTGCGGGAACGGCCTGAAATTTGCGCAGAAAAAAAACTGACAGCTGATCACTAGCTACCTGGCCTCTTCGCATGCTGGGCATGGCGAAAATGAGGTAGGAAAATCCGCGCAATCCCTAATCCTAACCTGCGTCTGGACCCAGACAGCACAAGCACTTGCGAAAGATCATCCCCGAAACAGAAACCTCTCGCTGCACGGCGGTGCATCATGCATGGAGGAAATGTATGGACGGCAGTGGCAAAGATTGTTTTGCCGGAAAAAAGGGACAGCTTGCGCTGCAGTTGCTTTGGCAAGAGAATGCGGTTCTGAAGCCCTGAGCATCTGTGGCATGTTCTCCTTGAAGGACGATCCAAGATTTGCTCGACGACTTCTGGTTTGCCAACTGTTACAGAAACGCTCACAAAAACAATCAGAAGGAAAATGACTTTTGACTTCAAATCCGCAACATCCATTCGAGAAGGCTGCGTTGAACACATCTCCGTACCAGTAGAGCCAGCCAAAACCTGCAGCTGAGCTTACCTTGCAGAGATCTGCCAAACAAGTAATCTGGCCAAGTCCGACGCGTTTTGTGCAAAATATGTACAGCGTTGTTCAGTGCTACGAGCTCCCGTATTGGGAACCTATTTAGTGCACGCAAAACTAGGCTGGAGCTCACCGAAACTGGAAAGTACATTTTGTCAGATAAGGTCAGAATCTGACATAGAGCACGAGGAGAATGCCAGCGATAATGTCAGACCCGGTATAGGGATCTGCAAACATGAAATTTTCGGGGAAGTCATTATTCAAGATCTGCTGTTGATATTGTTTTAGGGGTCCGGAATATTAAAAAATTTTGGTGCCAAAATACAACAATATCAAAATTTCTTACCCAACTCAGGTTTGCTTTCGGGGCCTTAAAGGATTTCCATTCCCAAGCTTTAGCACCAGAGCCTTTACCTATCAGGCCTGATATTAGAAAATCCGAAAATCTGCAAGTTCAGAGAAGCCAGCTCCATATAGACCCCTCTTTCGGGCTTACTAGAAATCATACGGTTCGTCAATTTCTGTGGAAGGTAGTCCAGCAGAGCCCCAGGCCCTCAATAAGGAAATTGTTTAGGGGTCCGGAATAATAATTCACTCCGCCAGCCGTGCTAATTTTGGATGCTTTTGTTGATTTTAAAAGGCCCAGAGATTCTGACTACATAGCCAGATATTCGAAAATCTACAAGTCCGTGTAAGCCAGATGCTAGCAAAGCTAGGATTCCATGAAAGCCAGATATTAGCAAAGCTATGATTCCGTCAAATCCATGAAAGCTGTGAAATCCGCAAGCTCCAGGTAACCAGCTCCATATACACCCCTTTTTCGGGCTTACTAGAGATCATATGGTCCGTCAATTTCTGTGGAGGGTAGTCCAGACCCGCCATGGTCGCTCGTGCAGGGTAAGCCTTGTTAGATGCGGGGGCGCACCAGAAGAAATCGAAAAGTGACAGTCAGCTGTAACAATGTCAGCCACGATGCTTTGCTCGACAGCTGTAGCAAAATTAAAACAAAAAAACAGTCCACTGGCTCGCACCAACACAACACTCAGCAGCATGCAACAATTCATCGATGTCACTGGAAAGCTGGGCCGTGGACTTGGGACTGGGCGGCTCACAATCGCATCGACTCCCGTATCGGGGCTGCGAAGCAGGCACATCGGCACCCTTATGATCCAGACTCCATAAACGGACTCCCGATACCACCGGGGCCGGTATTCGAACGCAGCAAGTCTCCAGATCCATCCGTTCAGCAGGGCGTCTGCACAGCGACAAAATTGATGCAGGTCCGAGAAGCCACCAGCAGGCACACTCGCCCATCTTCCTGCTGCATCCTCCTGCGAGGACATGAGCTGACTGGCAGCTGCGTTAGAGCACACACCATAAGTGCCTGACCAAGCACCAAACTTGTCAGAGACTTCCATGCTGAAAAATATCTATTTGCCAGGTACTGCCAGGAGCACAGGGAGTCATCTTCAAGCATTGGTTCCCGGAGTGGCCAAGGCAGCTGGCAGTGAGGAGTAGCAGCAACAAACATGGCAACGAGTAGACCCCGCAGCGAGTGCCCATCTAGTAGGACAGGTTCGAGCCGTGGTGCAAAGAGACAGACAGGCAGGCAGGCCGGCCGGCCGGCGGACGGACTGAAGATGTAGATGGACATATTCATACGGACGTTTAAACACATGATTCCCTATCTCATGTGCCCACGCTGTGTTGGGGCAGCATCACACTACCAGTGCAACCTTTTCATCACAGCATAGCGTCAGTGGCCATCTGAACTTCAGTTTTACTGCGGGAGCTGACCTTACACTGCCACAGAGCAAGGCACTGCGCTCCACTGCTCCCGGCGGGCGGCATTGACCCGCAAGTTCTGATCACTGTCATCGCATCCTCAAGCTGACTCGCTCGCCCATCCTGCGGCCAGTTCGGGGTAAAAGAAAAATGGTAAACAGAACTGTCCAGAACCACTCTGATCGAAATTTCGACCTCTTCCGCTTCTTCTTGCGCGCCAAGCCTGACTTGCACGACAAAACTCCTTACATCACCCCGGGTCATTCGTTGGAAGGCCTCTAATTATTGCTGCTGCGAGCTTCAGCACCGAATGAAAACGACTATAAAAGGGTCCGCTTGGGGGTAGGTCTCAGCATGTCTCAGCAAAGCAGGTACCGCCATCGTGGGATCCTGCAGTTTTAGTTTGATTTTGAGCTTGTGCTGGCATGTCACAACATGTTCTTGTCATCCCGAGCACGCGAAATCCCAAGGAAACTGGAGATAGCACCGACTTCAGTCAGCTGCAAAACCTGGCTGCTGCACGATTCGTCTTACTCATCGCCCAGAGGTGCGGCGCGCTTTGCCTGTGCATGGGTGCTCAACATCAGTTGTAGTTTCGAGCACAAGCTTCGATGAAGTTATTGGCCTGGGGAATGGCACGGGCATCTGCATGCCGGGTACTTCTCGGAGCAAAGCCATTGTTGCTGGAAGGTTGACACCTCAGACGTCAAAACAACTTCTTTCTGCAAGTTGCCGGAGCTGTCCTCTAAGCTTCAGACCCTCAGGGAGCGGTTTGCATGAATCTCCGCATCTGACCTCGTAGTCTTCTCTAAAATCTAGCCCAGTTGATGCCAGCTGCAAGGCCTGCAAAAGCGCAGTCTGTTTCTCCATTAGGGGAATCATGGGCCAGCTCTGTACAGCCTCAGGCAGCAGCAGCTGCACCGACATGAAGGAAGTCACGCATAATCCTGCTCATCCTTGGCCGCGCGCTCTATTTCGCAGCTCCACCGCTTGAGTCACACCTCAGCCAGACTGGTTCCGCCCGGATTTTGACGGATTTTGCTTCTGCAAGTCTTTCTCGCCCTTTCGTACCACTCCCAAGACTACCCCAAGTACGCGGAAATCGGAGCCAAGCTGAGCGCTTGCATTGCTTGCATCACATGGAAGTGAGCTCACAAGAGCAGTGTTTTTTTAACATGTAAATACGCACTAAATTGATTATCCAAGCGGTGTAGAGAGATGCGAAGCCCGTGGCACTCCTAGCGCAAGGCTCGTCGGGAACACCTGTTGGTCCCGCTGCCCCGGCTGCCCCTGTCGACCTCCTTACGTTCTGGCCACTGAACTAAACCTTCCTGCCTGACGGTAAAGTATACCTGGAGCGAGCGTTAGGAGGCTGCAGTACGTGGAGTGGCCAAAAGCTGAACTTCGCAAGGCTCCAATCAGCTCAGCCAAGCTCAAGTCAGGCATTTGTACAAAAGAAGCTGACAATCAATCAGCGAATGACTGTCCGCCAATTTGGCGATGTCCGCTACGAAAAGGTGTCGTGGCTGTCATGGCGTACATAGCAATCATGATCTTGATCGTTGAAAGTGTGAAACTGCACGGTGTCGGATGCCAAACCATACATGTCTTGCTGAAGTCGACGTCGTTGTCGTTCCCGCCAGCAGTAAAATAAAACCTCAGTGTCGCTGAAGCATTCTCATGCTCTACACGCGCCAGCATTGCTGAAGAGCTCCATGTGGTCGTGTCATTCACTCCCTAAATACGGACGGCAGAGATTCACCCTGAAGGTGCGCTGGTGGCCTTTCTCTGAGTGGACTACAACAACTGCTTGTGCTGATTCCACGGACTGCCCAGCTGAATTGCAATGACATGGAATGGACATCATCAAGCTGACGGTGTACCGAAAGCAACCGGGCTGCCCCCGAAGCAACGCCAAGCACAACCACCACACGAACAAAGCCAGCCACGCCGATGTCCTGAAGAGCGCATGCTTGCCAACATTAGTAGAAGACTCCTATAGTCGAGCGGTGTTTTGCGCACTGAAGACTTGTACTTGCTCCAGTCCTCTTCGGGTGCCGGCGTTGTGGTGGGAGCGACGCAGCCACATGGGCCCAGGTCATACCGCACGAATCCAGCCCCTGTGAGCTGCAGGCACGGGTCCATTGGCGGCCTGCCAGGAAACAGAACAAGACTCAAAAAACAGCGTAAAGTTGTGATCACCTTAGCTTAACACTCACCTCTGAGCTTCAGCCCAGGCGTGTAGCGCTGAGCAGCTGAGGCAACGGTTGTGGCGATCATCCTCGACCCAGCCGCACTCTTCCTGCCAGAGGCTGGTTTCTGTACCCTTCAGCTGGTGACTTGCCCATATGGCCACGCAACGGGCGCACCGCGACGTCCGGGATCAAATGTTCTGTTATCTCATTGAAGTGCTGACTGCGCTCTGACTATTTGGAAATCACAAGCTGACTTCATCGCTATGCAAATCCTCAGGCATGTTTCAAACAAGATGCGTAACACGGGTCGGCCTTGGTGCAGGCATCGTGAGATGACCCTGTGCAGGTGCCTTCTTCCTGCTGCGTCACCTCAAAATCTGTGAATAGACGCATGCTCCTTGCCCCATTGAAGCATGGCATAGCATGGCAACATGGCCTGAATGACCTGCCCACGGGTCAGTACGAGGACAGTATGTCCGGCTGTGGCCTCCGCCTCCGCTGCTAAGCCTGAAGCTCAGCACCGTGATAATGCAGATTTGCCGACCATGTCAACACTTCAGCCCTATGCGATGACATATGGTCCACCAGGCCCCAAACCCAATGGCTGCGAAATCCTGGACACCCAGTCAGCTGGTGACAGCGTTTCCTGAGATGTTCTCGCCTTTCCATCATGATCTCAAGGGAAGCGCAATTGCAAGCGGCAGCAAGGTGCAAGTGCTCAGAGTGCTCAGCAAGCCACGTTGGCTGCATCAACGCACTCTGTGGGCGATCCGAGCAAGGTAGTCACTCGACCCTCCTCAACCTGGGAGTGCGGTGAAACCCACAAACGCTCCAAACGCAGCCATGACCCAAAGCATGCTGCTAGGACTTAGGATGCCAGTAGTCACTGCTAGTCACTGCTACCCACAGGAAGGCCTGGCGCAAGGAGCATCCATCCGCCAGCAGGAGTTTGCCGTGCACCCAGGCGACCTTGACATTGGATTGCCAACGAGCCCTAGTTCCGGCTCCATGACAAGTTCTTGTTTATGTCTTCCTCCTCTTGCTCCTTGCTCCGTGCCCCCTTCCTGCAAGATGTTGCCGAAGCCTGAGAAAACGGATTTGCTTAAATGCGGTGCTCGCGCCGCAATTTGATCGCGTGCGGGATCGTGTGCGGGTTTCGCGGGAGCCCGACACATGAAGTGAGCACAAAAATCCCTGCTCTGCCTTTTATGATCTCAGAAAGCATTTCTTGATCGAGGCGAAGCAGGCAGAACTCTCCCTTCCACTTCAGGGCCGCGTCACTCACAATGCTCCCTTCTGTTGCGTACAGGTGATATTCCGTGAGATAATCTGCTTTAGCCTCAAGTATCTGATCCTTCCTTCACCCACCGGCTCTAGCGCAGGCTCTGGCGCGGGCTAGGGAATCCAAACAATTCCAGGTAACCTCTGATGACACGGGCTAGCGGTCTGTCAGGCCATAACTTGCAGCCCTTGTGTAGGATCTTGTTCAGTTCGGCATGTTGCACTCTTGTGGCTTGAGCCTGCCCAATACCCTCTTCCTGCGCGAGCCGCTCAGGTCTGCGAAAGACAATTCTTCACTTGGTTAAATCTACGCACTTGCTTACGACTCGTTGCTTGGCTGAGCCATGCACCTGGTGTGGTTGCACCACGGAGGCTGTCTCTGTTGGGCCATCTGCTCCTTCACCTATGCCAGGCCACCACAGCGCCAACATGCCCCTTTCAAGCACACTCCCTGGACACCCTAATCAGTCCACCAGCATATGACAAGTGGGGTTGTATAAAAAACGTATTAAATCCTGTATAACCTTCGACTTTTTTCCTACTCCTTATCGTTTTACAGTGTTGGGGAGGGGCTCCTTTAACCTTGTCGTTGTTTTTACTCCTTATCATTTTAAATGTAAAACGCTATCTGAGGACACCCATTACATAACTTAGAGAAGCCGGGTGATTATGCAACCCCAAGTCCCCATGGAGAGCATTCACTCTGGGGGCCCTGATCCCACAAATCATTAGCATTAATCTGTCTTCCGTGCCCAGACTATACCTAGCATTGCCTGCGGCCAGCAGCTCCTCAATGCTCGTCAGATGCAAGATGCCATGCGTGTCTTCCTGAAGTCGTAGCTTGACCACGCTGCGATTCCTGAGCTTGCTTCGCCATGCTGAGACACGGAGCTCACAGTTTCTAAACATCACGTGCTGCGCCTTGGCGCGACCGCATAGACGTGGGCATGCTGTACAACGTCGGCAGCGAAAGCCACTGCCAAAGACCCTAAAACATCTTGCTCGGCATCCTGTCACAGCAGAGCGTCGAACGGTCCAATGGCTCTCTGCATCGGCTCAAAAAAAACAGTGCAAGACTTTGTCCTTGAACTTCTGCAGTATGCTGGGGGGTGCCTCTGGCATTCACGCAACAGCAGGTAATCAATCACTTCAAGTGACAAAATCCGAGAAAAAGACGATCTTAAAAAATGCGGCTTGGCTGCACCATGGCCGGCGGGCGAGAGGCTCACGGCCAGGAGGCCTGAAAAGAAGACTCAGCTCTTAAGCTTTTGAACTCTTTTGACTGTCCATTTTTGCCTTTTTTATCCTTTTTCCTGGGCTCGCTTCAGGGACCCCGGCTCGCGCGAGAGGCGCGGAGCAGCAGGTTGTCGACGCAGCAGAGCGACTTTGCAGGCACCGTCTCTTGGAAGATCGCCACCTGACAACTATCCAACAGCTTGCAACCTGCCACCCAGAAGCCCAGCCAATCCGGCCTTGACAGACTCCTTTACCAGCAAGCTATACTCATAGATGGTGAGTACCCCACCATCCTTCGACAGCACTTCATAGAAAATACTGCTGCGGTGATGGCACATATGAAATGCCACCAGTTCCTGAGCTGAGGCGAGCAATGAGCGCTTCCACTGCATAAGACGCTTCCTGGACAAACTTGGCAAGGTGTGCTGCCAAGTGGCAGCATCGTGCCTTTCCACAGCTGGTGTGAGGAGCCCCTCATGCAGCATAGACACGCCTGACTTTGTCGCGAAATACACTGCTTGCTCCTTGGCACATCGAACCGCTCCGCAAGAGGTGACCATGCCAGCACATGCCCCTCGTGCAATGTGCCAGACACTTCAACGGCTGAGACTGGAGCATTGACCATCCCTATCTGATTGACCTCGCGTCAGCAGCTTTAGCATGGAACTGTGCACATAATTTCGAACTTCATTTCGCGGGTACAGTGCAGGCTACGTCCACAACGGAAGATGGCAGTGGAAGGCAAAATGCCCTGTCGCTACTGCCCTGTGCCTGCACATCGTGGGGGCGATAGAAACTGCTGCTCCAGCTTCCCGAGTATTCTCTGTGCGTCTCACCTAGAACCTCGGCAAGTCTCTCTACGACTACACGATCGCTCACGTACCATCTTCAAGCTGCCCCTCTGAGGTGTCGCTGAGTTCGAAAGCTAAATGCTGCCAAGTTGACATGCAGCAGACACGCACAAAAGCTGAGGCCTGCAAATTGATCCAGCAGCAGCGGCTCACATTGCATCACTCAGCACGATTCAACAAGATCGGATGGCCTGGAAAACGCCAAGGCTGCATGGTCAGGCCAGGAAATATGGCCAAACCCCGGATACTGCCAAAAAGGATGCAGATTCTGCAGCTAATGGATGCTTTTGTCGGATTGGTCTGATGACCATTACGAAGTTCTAGTCAGCGGATGCAATAGCAACATGCTCTGCCAGAGCTGAAGCATGAAAGCATGAATCAACTGCGCTTAGAGGTCACGAGGCCCCTGTTCCTTTCCCTTGCTGCCCTACGTTGTTGCTCCGCCACATGATGCAACCGGAGCTTCAAGTGAATTCAGAATCCTGAAGCCGCGAGAAATGACAGCCAGCCGGGCAAGCACACTAATGGCATAGTGTTTCTACGGCCTGCTACGGCCAGAGCTTCGTCAAACTGAAGGTGAGGCAGGCCTATCAAACTGATGACAAAGGTTGTCGCGAATACTCCCTCCCCTTGTACATGGACTCCATGGACTCCACGCTGCGTTTCTGGGAAAACCACTTCCAAAGCTGCGGTACGCACTCGCAGCCATGCGCACCTGAGACATGGCATCAGCATGCGACTCCGAAGCAAGGCCATCAAGCCCCCGTGCAATCAGCACAGTATGTAGGGGGACGCACACGCAGCACGCTAAACCCAACTGAATTAATTCTTTGCTTTGCACACATGTAGGGATAGGAGATACATGGCTGGACACGCTTCAACCCTTCCCTCAGTTGGGATTCTGTTTTTGGATACATCTGGGGAAGGCAAATGTGGCGTCATGCTTGAAGAAATGTAGGCCACATGTCACTGGAGCAACAAGTTTTGAAACATGCATGACACCTCACCGGTGGCGTTTCACGGCAAGGAATCCCAAAATATGTGAGCACATGGAATGGAAGATGGACATTCGAGCCGCATCTTTCAGATACACTCACGGATCTGCATCATAGCCGTTGAGTGTGTGGTCCATCCCATCTGGGTTTGGTGAATCTCGACTCCAACAAGTCTTGTCTCTGCATGACACCGGTGCCGACCAGTCCTGCTGCCTGTGTGTGACGCAGGACTCCCATATTTGCGTGTTGATCTGTTGCAGCTGCTACTCGCCGTACCTAGCGGGTGACTGGCGCTTGTAGTTTCATGCCAGATGGCTGCTGTCATGTAGTTCCCATATGCAAAGAATGAGCAATTTGATGTAAGTGCCCTGTCATATTCCTCTCTGCTGGCTTACTCTGATCTAAATTCACAGGTGCCGTAGCAAGCTCTTGAGAGATCAAGATGACTAAGCTTGCCATCAGAAGACCTTGAGATTTGAAGAGACCGGGAAAAAGGCCTGCACTGCGATTGGGTTCCACGTAAGAGGCAATTCGGTGAAAGTTTTGGATGCCTTGTTCCTCTTTCAGCCATGATCCCGCAGGCCTGCATGCGCTGGAGCTCGAGCGGGCAAAAGCTCGACCGGATCGAGCCTTTACCCTAAACGTGCGGGAGAAAGATCTGCCGCAGCTTGACAGATGTCGGGCTAGATAGGCTATAGTCTATACCTGGCCTGCTTGTCTGGTGCCTCTAGACTCTAGACTCTAGAGTATAGGCCCTGGGTAGGCTCAAGCCTTGATCACGTCGATCCCTGCTACAAGTCGCACGTAGAAGCCTAGGCACTGCACCAAGTGTTGCGAAATGACTTTACAACGAAATGCGACAAGACTGCCAGTCAGCAGATCGCGAGCTCAAGTTCCCTGACCGACACAACTGAAAAAGGCAAAGATAAACAGGGACATGAAGCTTGGAGGAGCTTTCGGATCTCGGGCTTAACACAGGCAGGCTTCGCTTCTGTTTCACTGGGCTGATGTACCAAGCTTCACAAACGCTCGCCTTCAGTCGGAGACTGGCCATTGAGGCCGCCATGGCTTGGGTCGCGGCTTTACTGCAGGGTGCTTTGAGGTGCTGTAAACTTCTCATGCTTTCGTGGTGTCTCGTCTGTGCTGCACATGGGGAGCAAGCCCAAATGCGCCCTGATGCAGCGAATGGCACGGAACCGCTCACGCAAACGCAAGCTTGCTGGACTGGGGATCCAGGCACCATGGCAAACCAAAGAAGAATTTTCACGATGCTGCGAAGTCTGTACTCTTTCTTTATGCTTCGAAGATATGCATGCTGTGCACGTGCTCAGTACTCGAGCAGGGTCACGACCTGCTGCCGTGCAAAGACACAGCACACAGGAGGTTCTGCTTCTTGTCCACCTTGCAGCACACCCGCCTCATCAAAGCCACGATCGCGTGCCAAATCTAGCGCCTTCTTCCCCAAGTAGTCCTGGAAGGGCTACATCAGAGCAATGCATGGTGCGTGGGCATGCTCCTACACCTTGCTGTGTGCGGAGATCGTTCCAGGGAGATCTGGATTCTCAGGACTCTCGCATGCTCGTGCCGCTCCCCGATTCGTGCGCCCGCCGAGATTTTCTGACATTCTCATGCATTACAGTATCCGCTCGGCGGGCTCCTGAAGCCTTGAACCCAGGCCGTTTGCGGTACTGATTTGCTTGAAGAATGTTTGAGAGGTCCAATGCCTCAGCGTCGCGGTCCGCCCCCATTGATAGGAGCTCCTTGACCTTTTCAGATAGCAGCTAGCAGCCAAGTTCAACTACCCAACCGTCTGTCGCTCTCAGGCTCACCGTCTGCAAGAAGCCATTGTGTGCCGCAGCGTGCAGCGGCGTTCTTTTTGTAATTGAAGCTGGCTCCTCGAAGCGAGGCTTTGAATCCAAGCTTGGCTTTAGATGCCTTGGGCTACAAGACTCAGTTTCTGACATCCAAGTACTTCTCCAACACACCGGCCTACTGCCAGCAAACTAAGCGAACTCGCACGTCAGCTGGGGAATGGCGCAGTGGCATCGTGCCTTCCGCAGGTGCAGCGCCAGGGCCTTCAGCGGCTTGTGCTGTCCCTGCCGAAGGCCGAAGCGAATGCCAGGACCAAAACTAGATTCCCCCCCTCAGGCCTGGCAGGCAAACTTGTAAAATGCAGAGCACTGGCAAAGCCTCAGATAAACAATCTCAACAAAACTCTGCCGCATGAACGTGCCCGTTGCTGCGTAAAAAACCATCAGCTTTCGCTAGGCTAACGTATGTCCCGTCCCTCGCTTAGCATCGGATGACGGCAGCATTCATCTTGCATGCAGCACTACATGCATAGCACTCAAGAAAAAGGCGTAGGAGCGAGTTCCGATGTTCAATTCTGGCCCCCTCAGTGACCAAGAAGTCCACCGCCTGAGGGCTCCAAGGGTGCTGGATTCAAAGAAATGTCAATTACCACAAGGTCACAAGGTTCACAAACCTCTGCAGACACAGCCCAGAAGAGTGGCGTCTCACCTGAAGAAGCAGGCGTGCGGAAGCTTCAAGCTTCCCAAGCTCTGCAAGTCTGCCGAAAGTACTCAGCAGACGGCCCATGCAATCAAGAACGTTCACATCCGTTCCTGACACAGACAGCAGCACAACACTGGCGACAACAAGAGCCATGACAAAGTGGGGCTGCATTGCCAATCTGACGTGCAAATGCGGCAGAAGATACTTGAATTCGCCTGCCCAAAAAGGTCGTTCTTCTCTTGGAGTAGGCTAACACGGACACAATGCAGTGGCAGGGATGCAGCGTATGCTCAAATGCAGCCTTGCGCAGCGCAACTAGCCCAGTCTTGAATTAATCATACGTGAGAATCATCTTTTGCAAAGTCTTGCTTCCATCTGCAGCAGTACCTTGGCGAAAAGCCTCTGGCATGTCGGCATACTATGGGCCTTTGTCCAGCTGCTTAGCCACTTTCTCTAGCCTGTCGATGCCGACCTGCGAGAAAGATGTACTGGAAGGGGTACTGGACGTGGCTGCTGGCTCAGGTTGCATATGGGAACGCAAGGACATGCCACTAGGGCCCCTACGGTGAAATACAATCAAGAACACAACATATCTTCGGGAACCCACATACCAACTTCTGGAAGCCCAAGGGCACCAGCTCATGAAGAAGCGATTGCTTCGGGATGGTTCCCACCAGAGAAGCCTGCCAGAGACAGATTCCCCCCGTGCAATCTCAATAACAACCTGTGAGATGTGATTCGAACCTGCTTTTGGCCACCAGAAGCCGCCCTGGCAAACTGGCAGTTCGCCAGAGGCTCCAGCATGTCTGCATCAGCAAGGGTCACGGGAAGGCCGCGGCACCACCGAACATGGATGCTGCCTGAAAGTTTTCTTAGAATGGCTACCTGCTTGTTGCTCAGGTTTATGCCTGCCTCACTACTGCAGGAGTCAAGCTTGTTCATCCGGTACCTGACAAGATATCTCCACATCAGCGCGTTTTGCCAGAGGAGGACAACGCGGCTCCCCGCTTCCATTCCGGGAACTTGAAATTCTCACCCAACTCTTGCATCATTGTCTTCATCTCTGGCCTGAGCATTGGTGTCAGGTCACAAGCAACTAGAAGGAGAGAAGTTGAGAGAAGTCCGAAGGATGGGCTTCAAGGACGGTCCCAGCATTGCCTTCACGCGCTCCTCCATTATACTGCCCATCGTGCCTGGAGCCAGAACTATAGCCACCGGCAAGAAGACCAACTCGGAGCACCCTGCCCAGGCCTGTTTCTTCTGCGAGCTGCCGGATCCAAGTTTTGTGTGGAATGAGTACACAACAACACCCTCTACTACGTATCTTCCGCAGCCTCTAGCTATGCTGTGCTGTGTCCTGTCCGTGTACATTGGCTTCCCCATGCCAGACTTGGTGCTAGTTGCCAACTTGAGGTCCGGTCAGAAGCAGCGACAGAACTCAGATATCGCAAGACAGATGACTGGCCCTTTCCCCTCCTTTTCTTGCACCGTGTGCACGCAGTGCACGGGTCTGTCGCTCTCAGAGGCTGGGAGTTGAAGGCTTTCAGGACGCCAAAGGACACAAGCGCAGGTTCTCGGGCTTGACCCTGAGTCTTCATCTCCTATGCGAATGCAGTCTGTAAGCTTTGCTGGGGCATCCACTTCAAAGCTTTGCCAGACATTTGCACTTGGTACCTCTCATCCAGACCACAAGACCATAGTTTCCATAGAGATTTCTGCAGGATCAAGATGCTCTTGGTTCGCCTCTGTCGCTCCTCATCGAATTCTGTGACCTAACACGAGTGTCGTGAACCCTTCCTGAGATCCTGGCCTTGCCCAACAACGGCAAGGATGTATCAGTCCCATGGGTGGTCAGCATTGCTTGGGCTCCGCCCCGCCTTTCCATTCTTCTCGTTCCACTCCTCTGCCTGGAGGCCCTGCACCTGCAGAACGTAAAACCCAGTCACCACCAGTAGAATGTAGAAGAGCATGGCAAGCAGCGCCGTCACGATGGCGCCAGCCACAAGCCGCGCTCGCGACGGCTGGTGAAGATCTCTTCGCTGCGGCTGGGCCTGGAAAGGCGAGAAACGCGAAAGAAAAAACCGCTGGCTTCTTGGCTTGGCCTCGGCATCCTCAGCCTGTTACGCAGCTTGGTGCAGTTTCGTCATGCGTCGACTTGCTACAAGTAGTGCCTCCGATGCCAGACGACATAAGCACTCGCCTGTTGCCTTGATTGATGGCCATGAACAAACAGAAAGTGGCCTGTGCATGTTGAGCCTGATGATTTGATACCATGCCATGCAGTGACTCATGTGAAGCAAAGACCGAGCATTCAGCGTCATCGAAATCCACAATGACAGCTTCCAGCCACCTCACCGAGCACGTGTGTTCAGCGACCATCACATCTCAAACTCGGCAGCAGGACTCATCTTCGTCATCGGGGTCCTTGTCAGCGCGACGGACCTCCAAGCATTTGCAAGCTCAAAGAAGTGCAGGGCCTTGGTCTGCAGGAAAGGCCACCTTAATGCTGAGAAGCTGCAACCTGAGCGCGACAAGTCTCATTCCAGAGGACAGGTCTTCTTCAAAAGTCGAGCGCTAGACAGGTTGCCTGCCTTCAACGAGAGTTGCCTCACAGAGGACAATCAGCTTGTAAAGAGTCCTTGCAGCGCCTAAGAATGTATTTAGGTCTCTGGATCTTGAACGTCGAATTCAAGGGGCCTTGAAGCAAAAACTCTGAGAGCCCTCAAATTTCTTTGCCCGATTCCTGCAAAGAACAGAACCTGAGAATTTCAACGGACACTCAAACTTTTATATTTGGTAATGCTTCAAAGGTTCTTGGCTCTCAAATCCTCAAATTTGAGCGATTTTGGGCTCAGATTGAGACTCCTAACTCTGAGGGATGGGTTTGACCCTTGTGGGACAGGTTCTATTCTGTGTGGAACGCCACCTCAGACCTCATCAGCCTGAGAAAGCTGATGAAAGGAGATTGCAAGATCCTGGCCTCTCACCGAGCTGAATCACGTATCTCCGCTTCGATGCATCGAAACTGTCACAGGCCGAAGAGGACACAGCTGCTCCAACAAAGCACTTGCTAGCACCGAGATCATCGTTATCAGCACTTGCTGGATAAAAAGGCTGCCTGGTACATGCAGGTATGCCGCAGTAGTTGTTGTTAGAGTGCTACAAGACTTCATTGGCCCCAGTCTTGTCTGCTTGAGGCCTTAGAGCAGCCGACTGGCTGCGCTACGGCCAACATGACGAAATACTCGCCCCAGCTGCCCACGAAAGAATGATGCAAAAGCCACAGGATTCTGCAGGGCCTCTGCACGAGGCCTTCCAAGCCATTGTTCTCGGGCCTTTGCGGCAAGCAGCTGTGATGCGCAGCGTAAAGAGACAGGAGGAGTTACTCTTAGGTAAGGACGCACCTTGAAGGGCCCGGACCCGAACGCGAGTTCCCGGCCTCCATTTCAGCAACTAAACTTAAACAACTCTGCCGTCCACTACATCTAACTTCGGATGCCAGAACTTCGCTTTTGCTGCGGTAGCAAAGCTGTCCTCCTGAAAAAACTGAAGTTGCCTTTCTTGTAGGGTGCTCTGCTTCCTGAAATCCTCTCTAAACCGCTGGGCCCAACTTGCAGAACCGTTGATGCTAACCCAAACGGTTCCAAATCCACGCACGACTTTGATCTTGCGGTGAGGGTTCCAGCGGGCACTTTCTGGCCACGCAACTTGTCAGGGTTCACACGCTGAGCTGCAGGCAGAATTTGAAGAGATGTATCCACCTGCTCACTGTGCCATGCATCAAGGGTTGTTTGAAGTGGCCAAGACACACATGTGGCCTGAGCAGAAACGCCTGCGGCCGTCTTCCATCCAGAAAAGCTTGTCAGGATCTGTGGCACACAGGCGGTTGCTGTAGAGACGTAAGTAGGCGAGCAGCGCGTCCTGCGTGGACGATGCACTGGCAGCTGCCATGACTTCCCCGCGAGCGTCTCGGACAGCCTCGCAAGATCAACCCAGGAATACCACGCGCACAGTAAGGTGGCCCAATGACCTGGCGGCCAAGGCTGTCCAGGACAATCAACTGCGGGATCCCAGAGACCTCGCAATAGCTGTTCGCAATGGCATTCATCACTGATCCTCTCTTTTTTACGCAGGCCTGGAACTGTCTGGACAAACGATCCTTCAGCTCGGTGCAGTCGTACTTCAGCGCCAGCCAGTCACCTGATGCAGTCTGTCTCACGTGTGAATGAAGACCAGGATTTTCTGGAAGACCGGGAAGGACACCATGCGATTCGTACCTGGCGGTGAATGTCTGAAACATGGCACCACATGCTTCATGGCTGAGGCGCATGTACTGCCACATGTCTTTTTCAGAACGATCCTTGGCTGGGAAGCACCACAATGCATTCACCCCCCGTACGTCAACGTGCAGTTGAGGTCCACGCGCTCGATACGAAGATAATCTTCAAGGACTGCTCACCTTAGATCCGTGCGGCTCAGCATCCTCTTGGCTCCGACTCATAGCAACAGCTGGGCGGCCTACCGAGTGATTGAAGAGTTTCCTGTCTCAGAGGCCAAGAGGGCTCTACAAATGGCAGTGCGCACATAGTGCCCCTCGAATGAGAGATGCATCCAGGGGGCATAGAATTTCTTCAGCAGTGGCGTAAATCCCCTGCGCAAAATGATGCACACGTGCACAATACCTTTGACCGAAGCGAAAACTCAAAGGCTGACATCCCATCATAAGAATTTCACAATCCTGGCCTAGTGCGTTAGTTACTGCATATGTCGCCTGCATGGCGGACACCAGTGAGCGCTGAAGTACAAGGCCACAACATCTGATGTTGCAAGCTGCTGCCTGGGTTTCAGCTGTGCAGCAAAGGTTCGGAAGGAGACTACAACGAGATGATACTTGGGCTGGGGCGCATCGAAGTCTTTCCCGCTGCGATCCACAAGCTTCAAGCCTGGGTAGGACCACAGCACAATTTCACAGAGCTGCTGCGTCTCTCGCACACTGCAGCTGCCAGGATCAGCACCATAGCTCTGTACAAATGCAGCCATGGCCAAGTTGCTGATTTCAACACATGCTAGCCTTCCTAGAAGTCTTACTACAGTCTGACAGGAATCGTATCTGAGCATAACGAATCGCCTGACTTTGGAAAATGCATCTGCTTGTCAAAGGGTCTGGCAACGAAGAAATGTTCCTGAATCCACGGGTGGGACTGGATTGCTGGGTGTGGTCTATGGTTTGCAGCTGCGGAGTTTTCAGGGTTTCCTTGCAGAATGGGAGAGCGAAGTAGCACTGAGTTGCAGCATGTTAAAATCAACACATTCCAATCTTTTCCAGTCGCGACGGCAGTGTCGAACTCGCTTCCTTCTTTGCCATCTTGGCTGAGCTGGTTCCTGCACAGGCGCAGGACGTATGCAGATCCAAGGTCAACTCATCTAAATGCCAAGCCACGCAGAGACCAAGAGCAGCTCGCACGCTTCATGCGCAACCAGGAGACAGCTGCCTGAGATGCAGTGAGTCATTGAATGTCTCACTATGCGAGGTGTGCGTTGCGCAGGCCTCAGCACGGTCCGCAGGCCGTAAACGTGAAGAAACTCGCGAAGCCCTGGAAAGAAGGTAACAAGTGTTCTGCGTAGTATAACGGACCACAAAGGTGGCCTGTCAGGAGCACCGCAGCCAGGTCGACTCCCTACAGCAAACGAAAGAGGACATCTTGAAGGATGGTTTCCAACAAAACTGAGTCATCGGCAAGCCCTGTGCCAATGCAGCGGGTGAAGCAGGCAAAGGCTATACCCTGCCTGCCAATCTTCAGGCATACGACAACTACAAACCACAAAGGGACCACGATCTTTGCTTTGCTCAGCTTGGGGCCACATCAATGCCTGCGAATTCTCATGTAAGCTGCGCAGGGCTACAGCCTGAATCAGTTGTCAACGCGCGAGTTTTGGGAGGCTTCGGGAGCTGCGGCAAGTTGGCAGGCAGGTTGCCAAGACCCCGACAGCTCTTAAGAGCATGAACGTCGCAAGCAGAAAGACGGGTTCGTCGCCTGAGATGTGGTTCTCGCCCTGCAGTAGAGAAAATCCATGCTCCTTTCGTAAGAACTTGGCTCTGATCCTTGTTCAGCTGCAGCTCTTTGGCATCTCCATTGAGGAGAGCCTGGCATGCAGAGCACAGGGCACAGAGCACAGAGCACAGAGCGAGCAGCGTGGAAGAGACTCCGCTGACATGGGAAAACGACCGTCAGCGCCTCAAATTCTTCTCCGCGGCTCTCTGCCCCTGAGATCAAAACAACTTCCTGGCATTTCCTGAAATGACCGAGGCTGCGACCTTGGAAAAGGAAGCTCTGTGAAGTCCTGGAGCTGTTGTTGACATCCTATTCCTTCTGGGAGACCAATCTCAGGCTGGCGCAGGATCAGGAAGATCACTTTGGCACGGCCATGCGTGAGGAGCATGGGTCCTGACATGAGGGAAAGAGGAGCATGCACAGGCACAAATGCCGCACAAACTGCTCCTGTGAGATTTCAGGCGCCCATGGAGGAAGCGTGATCGCCTGATGTGAGCAAGTCACAAAAGCACAGCACACCGCGTCGCAGCGACAAGATGCTGCTGGGCGGCTTCGAATTTCTTTGAGGCGCGCGTCCTGCGCTCCGCGCCACTTGCCATGAGCCCGGCCATGAAATGGAGCATGTGGAGCATCCGGAGCATCCGGAGCATCCGGAGCTTCTAAGCTGCACCATGCAATGCCATGCACCACGGAACAAGCCAAACGCACAGCTTTCTGCTTAGCAGGGCATCCGTCTCGGCATGTCACTCAGGACACAGGTCTCAGAAGCTGTGATGAAGCTCGTTGAGTTGCTTCAGGATTTGGGTCGTGATGCAAAGCGAAGACGCACACGATGTGCTTCCAAACAACATGATAGGGGAGAAGAAGCAAAAGAACTCAACATGCAGCTTCGTATTGGCACAAGCAATGCCCTCCGGGGAGCGCTTGCGGCTCTACAAGTTGGCCATACGAAATTGAGATTTTGAGAAGAGCAGTTTAAACGCTGGCCATTCCCGCGTCATCCGCATCACATGATTTTACTGTCACAGCAGCACTGGTGGCGGGTTCCGCGACGGTACTTCGCTTCGCAACAGCTGTGTTGTTTTAAGAACGCGGGGATGGTGTGAGGCATCGTCGCACGTCCGATGCCATATTACGGTGTGCTATGCGCGTCTGCCTGGATTTGGTGGCTCTACCAGGCAAACATACAACAAGGATAGCTGCCAATAGTGCTTTTCGGGCACCTGTTATGAGCACTGGTCGACTATGACTGCACACTGTAGACCTGGAATCATAAGAAAACAGAGACTTCCGAAAGACATTACATGTGAAGAACAACAAAACTCAAACGCATCCGTGAAGTATCTGAGACGTGTAAGCCATACTCTGCGAAGAGACCCTATACTGCCTATCTTGAGGCCAACGGCCAACGCCTGAGTTGTAGAACAGCTAACTCAGTTCATTTCACTGGTCTTGCCTGGCGCTTCCTTGCATGTAGTGCTGCACAGATGACGAGCAGACCCAGACAGCGCTACATAAGCACCAGCACAGCCAGCTCGGCCGAGGATTGTACTTACATCCATTCTATACAGCGTCTTTTCCAGGAAAGCAATGCTTGCAACCTCAAGCCCTTGATTCCATATCAGCCCTTCCGTAATCTCGTAAAGTGATACGGCACAAGCTAACATGTAAGTCTGGGCCTGTTCTGTTGGCGAAAGCGCTTCGCGCCAACTGTCACAGGTCTGGACAACAGGCGTCCGGCACCAAGTGGCCATACAAGGAGTCCCAGGGCGATGTGCCGCAGCATGCATCTGCAGGGACTGCTAGAAAGGTGCCCGTTAATTGAGATGCTGGGCCCAGAGAACAACCTAAAGTGCCGCCATATGACTTCCTGATCCCAGGGCATGGACAAAACTGATTGAACCTGGCACGGGCGCGCAGTAAACCCATCCAACTCTACCTGACCTTGCACGGCCCGACATGGATACGTTGGAGAGTAAGGGAATTTCACACAAGCGTTGTGCAGTCCCAAGGCGGGTGGCACCCCCAATCTGTTGATATCTAGGATTGAGAAGGGAACGGCTGCTTTCAGGATCCCTAATATGATGGCACGCGTGACCCTTAAACCCCAAACACTGAAGTTTAGATCTAAGAGTTCTTCCGGAACCCCTGTGTTGTTTGACTGCACAACCCCTTATGAGCCCTAGATCCCTGCAAGCACCCGTCTTAGAGCACATAAGCCATAAATGTTAGACCCTTAGGAAGGCATCGCAGCTGGGCTTCCTACAGGAATGCACCTGCCTGTACCGATGCACATGCAAGGGCGTCACTGTAGGTTAAGTCATCACCTGGCACGAGATGGCACGAGGCTTCAGGACGTCCACTGCTGGCCGCTTGGTTTCAATGTGTGTCTTCGTGTTCTTTTTTCCTGCGCTGTCTGTAGATCTACTATACGCGCTGCAGGGTCCAGCATCATCTCCCAACTGCCCTTGAGTTGTCCTTGACACACGAGTCTCAGAGCTCCCGCTCCCATCAGGAGCCAGCGCGCGCACTGGAATTAGAAGTGCTTGGGAAAGAGAAACGGCCTGCAGCGTTGTATGGGACACGAAAGCAGAAGGCGGCCCTCCCGGGCTGAGTAGCGAATGCTTCGAAACAAGAACTGCGAGGCTCTGATGCTCCGATGCTCTGGACACCAGATTGCACGGCCAGATCGGCGTACATGGGACTGCTCCCTGGGATTAGGATGTCACCTTCCCGTTCAGGCACGACTCATGTCTGCAAGCTACCAGTAAGACATGCAAAACGTGTAGCCAACGCAAGATGACCGCATGAATTCTCAGCTGTGCACACGATTGCAAAAAATGAGCATTATCACGCACACTCCCTTTCATGCCTTACTTTTAGCTACTCTAAGCTCTTGCCCCGTCTGCCCGACATGCGTCATGACCAAGCAACATCTTATGCAGCTTACTCCGTCTGACTTCCCAATTAATCGCCGGCTGACGCTGTGTCCATCTTCTCGGCGTTGGACGACGGACACGGATGAGAACTTGTTTGGATCGATCTCACAGGTCAGAATACATCTCGTCAGAAACTACGACATGTCGCAATGAGTTGGCGTCAAATGACTACTGCAGTCGCCTTTTTGTTCTTGGCTTTGTATTCTTTGTAATTTGACTGAGCTTTGCCTTGAAGCGACAGGCATTTTGCCACACACACTCTGAAGTCTCTGGCTCCAAAACAAAGTCTACACCAGAATGTGGTGCGAGCTGCTTCGCTCTGCTGCTGCTTCGAACTCCTTGATGCGCTCCTGACAGGCTGCACGACATGCTTGCTGCGATGGCTCAAAGGCAAAGTTGGAAAACTCAACTTGTGATTATTAGAAAATTGAGGAAGGGAAGCCGCCGTAATTAGCTGACATGTAACTGATGGACCTCCACGTGCATGGCTTGTGAGGTCACAGCAATTCTACGAAGAGTTGAGTATTGCTAACATCAGGATATTTAGGCAAAGCTAGCTTCGTGCTGCTTCAAGGCCTTGAAGCAGAATGCCGCCTCGAGGCTCCAAACCCCCGCAGGTCAGTCAATGCACAGTTCTACAATAGACTGGAACAGTGGAGATGGTGGAGAAGCGTGGTAACGCCCATGCCGCATACAGAAATAAGCTTCTTGGGCTGTACACTTCTTGAATGTTGTCTGAGAATGCCTGGGAACGCGGTTAGCAGAGCTAGGGCTGAACAAACACGAGCAACGAAGTGAAGCAATAATAATTCTTTTGTGCAGTGGCGTGCTTTGCTTCAAAGTCAAAGTCAGCTGAATGAAAACAAGGCAAAGGCTTTACAGCTGTGAGCTGCTGCCTCGTCTATGGAATCGAAAATGTCAAACTTTGCCAGCTTCTCTTCAACCAGCTTCTTCATGGATGCCTGTAAGCCACTGCAAGCCATCTCTTGGGTTTCCAGCACCTCACCACCTCATGCTCCAATGCAACCAACCTGGGATCTAGCACATTCTAGGGTGCCTACGTCGGCGTCGGCGACCAGAAGGGAAAGGCCTGGACACAGAGAAAAGAATATGTCAGAATGCACGGAGGGTCTAGGAATTTTCTCTGCCTGGCATGGTGCCAGGGAGGCTCATTGATGGTTCCACGGGGCGCTCTTCTTCAGGTGCTGGTTGTTCCCCTTGTTCACTGGTCTCTACCTCAGCTGCTCTTACGCTTTCGCACTTGGGAGCTGCCCAGATTGTCCCGCTCTCAAGCTTGCAGTCAGGTGGCCGGAGTCAACATCGGAGTCGGGGTACTCATAAACTTTGCACGATCTTTGGGCGTCCTTGGCTCTTGACGGGGCTGATCAAAAGGCTGCGTTGGTCAAGTCCTGGACACACGCAAACTCAGGAAGATGCCGGTTCTTTTTGACAAATTTCTTCAGAGCCTCTTTCAGCACTTCATTAGGCATCATCAGGCAATCTGAGGTTGTCATTGCAGTTAATGCCTCTGCCGCTTCCTTCTCTGAAAGGACCGGGGCATTTTCAGGGATGCCTGATGGCATCATGGCCTGACCAGGACACTGCACCAGCTCAGCACCAGCTTGGGAAAGCCGTGGACCGTGGGCAGAGACTTGGCCTGTCAAGCTGAGCAGAGCTGCCGTGCGGATGCAATCGGGAGTTAGAGCCCAACTTGTAAGCGTTTTGTCATAGCTGCATGCTTTCATCCTATGTGCTCTTCTTGCGCCCATGCAGCGCATGAACTTCTCTGCTTGACCTGTCACCATGCGACCCAGTTCCGGCAAAGTCCACCCTAGCAGACTCGAGCCACTTGCGCAGAATCAGCAGAGGCTAGAAGGACAAAAATGCCCAGCAAGTATACAAGCTCTGAACAATGCTACGCCCGCTCCGTCAGTTGGCGCGGCCATGCGTTGCCCTTGTTTGATGTGTCGTGCTTCGAGTGCCAAGCAAGCACGAGCTTGACAGCCGGCTGCTGTCAGCAAAATGCGACTTTGTCTCATCGTATTCTGCCCGACAGACAGCAGCCGCCCCTCTACAGCATCGGAAGCGGCATGCAGAGAAGGCTCAGGACTTCTTCATCTCGACAGCATTCACGCGCGCCCCAAAGTTCAGGGAGCACATGGACTCCTGAAGTCATGTCCCAGTCGGCTGCCCTCAACGCCCTGCTCAGTGTCCTCGACGTGGCTGCCGCAAGGATTCAGCTGGAGCAGCATCAGGGTCTTGGAGTCACCGCCTAAGGAGTCCTCTCAACGCGATTATCAGCCCAACTGCGAAAGCAATAGCAAAAGGAGTCCTGAAGGAAGTGCGTCAGCACTGAGTTCCGGTACGGCGTGTGGCCCTGCTTCTGCGCCTGGCAGAGAGGTGGTGGAGGACTCGGTGCATGTGGGCGGGCCGGGCTCCCTGGGGCTCCCCGGCCCTCGCAGCGATGACGTCACCCAGTGAGCTGAGGGACTTGTTGATGGCAATAGCCTTCGAAGAAGGGTTCGCTGTGAGAAATTGCATGTGGAGGTCAATGATTACTGCAATGCGACCTCCTTGGCGCGGTCTCCTGAAACACCAGACTTGGCCAGGCGCTCAGAGCCGGCCAGATCTACCTCCAAAGCCAGTCACAGATCTGCATTTTCATGGGCTGCACATGACACATGACACGTCTCGTGCACTGGCGCACCAGCGTAATGGCGGACGAGAACTGCCTTGGCATGCAGATCCCACAATTTGACTTTGCTAGGCCACCCGGAATGTTGCAAAAGCTTCGAGAAACACTCGGGAGGCTACTTGCCATCAGGGTTGGTCATTGTTCCCAGGATCTGGACCTATGGCAGATTGGTAGGAGTCGCTCCCAGTGGTGGCGATCCTGCACTTGCACATGCGGCTTCTCCTGAGGACCCGGCAGCCAGATGAGAGCGCGAAGAGTGGAGATTCATGTCGGTGGCTGCTACTGTCCGATTCCTCGGACAAAAGCAGACATTGCCCTGGCAGCTTTGCAAAGCTTCACGCATAGAGCGCATGGAAGTCTCTAGGTCTACGGCGTCTGCGCTGTGCTAAGCAGCATCTCAACTTCCTCCGCAGTGTTCACCTGCCTGTGGGACAAAAGTGGCCAACATTGAGTGACGGAAATCAAAAAATCGATCAGCAAGTGATGGCGAGTCTGAGAGCTGACCACCATTGAAGCCGAGATTCTGCATCGTCAGTCCAGGGACATAGTTCCCATCCTTGCCCTGCCTCACCTGCTTGCATTAGGCTGGTTCTGGATCTGTTCCGTTCACAGAGTGCATGGCCAGCAAGCCTGAAGTTTTTGCTTTTTGTCGTTGGGTCCGAGCAGGAGGTCCCGGATCTCCTGGACAATCAAGGATATCGAAAATCCCAAGTACTCCTCTGAACTTGATTAAGGAACGTGATTCAGCCGTGTCTTGATACGATTGGCCTCATTGTAGATCTCTACGCAAGCCCCCTTCAGCTCAATCTTCCAGCCAGCTCTCTCTCTGGCCACCTCGAGCTCGATTTGAGTCATGGATTGCGTGACATAGCGCTGAAAGCCTTGAAGAGCTCGTTGAAGGTTCGGGTGTAGACACCCGGATTTTGCCTGTGGCGTAGATAAGTGAAGGAACTCCTGACCGGTTGCATGCACGGCTAAGGCCACGTCTTTGTCCCCTGCATGGAATGCGTTTTACCAGATCCAGTCTGACCGTAGGCGAACATGCAAACATTGTAACCTCAGATTGCATCCTTTGCGATCATCGCAACCAGATGTAAGCAGACCGAAAACTAGGCATCCTGCCATCCAGCATTGAAACTACCAAGTCTCGAATACCAGTGAAAAGATCTTCCTGTCAGCACGCATACATGGATACAGAGGTGTTTGTGCCAGGGGGTGGATGAGAAGTTGGCCTGACTAGCATTCTGTCGGTAAATCTCGTTGAACTGGAATGACCTTTGCGCGCTGTTTGGTATGTGCATCCACGGAGATGAGCAGACAAACATTAAACTGCAAGCGGCATCGGACATCATTTGACCACGCCAACATATGGAACTTCAACCCTGCAAGTACCAGAGATTTCGTTTCATCAACCCGCCATGTTAACAAATTCATTGAGAGTGAAGCTTCTTGGTGCCCATGTCTGCATTGCTGATCTGGATCTGTTGCAAGACTGGGCTGCAACGACAACTGCGTGATTGCGGTATGTCAGCCACGCCTCATCCGGCCCTGGAAAGCTTATGCAGCAGCCGTGCGCTGCCCTCGAGTTCTTGAGCGCATGCAACGCTACAGATTCTCATAGGAGTACCTTGCAAACTGTCTGAGAGCCCGGCTCTGCTTCCGTCATGGGACGTACCCGGCAGTAGACTCGAATGTTACCTAAACAAGCAGCTTTCTGCGAGCTAATGCAGCAACGAGTAGATCTGATTAGTACCATAGGCCCAGGCCTTTGAGTTCCTGCACGAGGTTGTGCAACCTTAGAGAAACTGATGTTCTCATCTTCGCTACTAGGCCTTCCTGCAGAGCCGAGTCGTTTGCTTGCGTCTTCTATCGCATTCGATAGTGTACTTTTCCTTCCACTCCTGGAACCCATGACTCCAACCCCTTCGCGGTAGCCTTTCGGGGTAGGGCTGTGCACGATGTGAGGAACAAAGCAAGAAGAGCTGCCGGCAGAAAACCGGCCTCGACCATGCCGAGCCTACCTGCCCTACCTGCCTCAAAGGCTAAGCTCAGTGCTTGGCCATTCCTGCCCTCCATTTCCTTTTTGATTCATGCCTCTAAGTTCTGGTTGAACGTCTTGTCTAACATGCAACTTGTGAGTAGACCAGCATGGATGTTACATTCCTAAGCGTCGCAAGCAGTCTCCACAAGAAATCAATGTCATACCGTGTACATCAACCCGATGCCTGGAACATCCGAATGGCAACGAAGCCGACTTTCGCGAAAACATGCTAAGCCACTAAGCTCCCCCATGAGTTACTGCTAGTAGGACTTCAAAAAACTGCCCCCAAAGCCTTCCACAGCGAAGTATGGACCTTCTTTTAACCTCTACCTCAAACCTGACAGAGCTTCTGCATCTGAAAAAGGCCCCGAATTGCCGCGCGTCCTGTCCTGAGCGCCTGCATCCAGCAACTTCTGCAATTCACCTGCCTCTGCAACAACGACGTTAAGTTCTGCTTTCTTGGTTAAGAAAGGCGAAAATTGCGCCTTGGTTCGCATGACCTCTTCCAGAACCTGCAACATCGCACGCGGAGTCTGGCCCCAAATCTACCTGACACAGCACAAATATGCAAGCCTGCGGCAGCTGCTGCTGGATTTCCAGTGCCACCTGGCATAGCTTGCATCGCATGGCCCACTCAGACTTGAAGTTCAAAGCAGCCACGCTATTTGAACTGCTCGAGTCATGAGGGAAGGTTAAGCTAATTATTCCCACCATGTGCAGCTGATAATCGAGCCGCTCGGAAAGGCCGGGTTCTATGGCAGAATCTTGTTAACATCTCAGGCAGCATGGTGCACAGCACCGTCCAAGGGTTCATAGAGAACTCTCGGAAGCCAGCCGCCAGCACAGAAAATGTTTGGGACAGAGTGGCTTGCGAGCAGTTGGCAGTTTGGTCTTGTTCCTTTTTCAAGTCTTGCTATGTCAACACGTTTACGCCGCTGAACTTGCTCATGGTAACCTTGCAATAGGAGTTCTTGACACTGCGTGGCTCACATCTGAAGACATCAAGTCATAAAGTCACAAAACATGACGGCTGCACCGTGGCTCGCATGTCAGAGACCTGCTTCTTCCCTGCACATACGTGGTAGGTGATGACCACTGAGCGAAAAGTGAACAACGGATTGCAGGCAAGTGTTAAGCTCGCAAAAGCTGGATTTTTTAAACGAGTCACGTCGACGGCTGCGGCCACAGACGCTGTACACTCGGGCTCTACAATCGAACAGATGTTCTCTAGCCCACACGATGACACACTTCACCTATGGCCACACCATTGGCAAGCTGAAGAAAACGTGTGAGTGAAACTGCCATGCTGACACACTGCAAGCTGCTGAGGCTGCTAGCGCGAAGAACCGCCACAGCATGGTGATCCTTGCCCGTGCGGAGGGTTCAGAATCTCCGCCAGCTCACAGATCCCTCGGGCAAGCGTCACACGATGCCCCAGGGGCCTGATCTCGCAGCTCTCGAAAAAGCTTGGCTCGATGGCTCCTCCCACGACAGTTTCGAACGTGACTTATCAAGTCAATTGCAAAACAAGCATGCCTAGTACGCTGGCACCAGCTTCGCGAACTTTCACAGACAGAAGCTGGGAACGATCTGCATCAAATTCCCTCTTCAGCCTCAAAATGCTGCCAGCAATTAAGTCAGATTGTGTGTATGTGTGTGTGTACGCCTTTGACGGGTGTCTAAGCCACAGGCGCCGGCAAGTATTGCATCAGCGCGCCCTTTCCTGCTTGACTAGTCCACGTGCTAAGCCTTTCGTACAGATTGCCCCAGCATGCAACAGTGACAGCGAGCCTCTGTCGAGGCCTAGTAGCCACTCTCGAAACTTGTCCTACAAGACATCTGTACAAAACTGTGCACATCAAGGCAGGGCGGTCTTGAAACGTGGCAGATGTCAAGTTTATGTTCATGGTGTCACAGATGTGCCATGGGTGCTTCAGAGCCCCTGTGCTTTGCCCACTAAGAAAATTTGTTATTTGCATCCGGTCTCTGATACTAGTCGCTTCTCATAACATCTTTTGCTTGCACGTTGCCAGCACTACGGTTGCAAGATGAATCTGAAGAAAGCGTTCTCGCGCCAATCAAGCTGACAAACTGTAAGTTGCCTAGGAACTGGCCTGCATGCTCAAGGCCAAAGTGTTCGAAAGTAGGTCAGGCTGCTGATGCTCCTCCTCAGTGGCCATCAGCTCTTTTTTGATCTCCTCGTACCTCGCGCTGAAGTACCTCACAGGCTATAGAGAGCAATCTATCGCCTCGGGGCTGGAAAGGTCAAAGAATGTCTCGACCCTCTTAACAATCACACGTTCGAGGCCCAAGCTTCTCGAGCACATGCTCAGGCAGCTTGTTCGCAGCCTCAAGCCGCATCAACAAATGGCACCTGATTTGACATACAAAACGACATGAATGCCTGCTTTGACCAGTAGGCATGGAGGGCTGTGTCCTGCAGCAGCCACATGTCGTTTGCGTTCAGTTGTTGCTTTCTGTGCGTCCTGTCCCTTTCGTGGCTTGATGTGCACCTTCACATCTTGGATGGTCACAGATCGGCACTCTGCCATAGCCTGAACCCAAGGCGGCGACAGCAGCTGTGCGGTGGTGAGTATGATTGCTTGCATTCCACAGGCCTGCGAAACGCTCGAGTCGGCCATCGTGACGATGGCAGCGCTGTGCTTGGGGCTCTTCACGACGGTTATCCCCGCCGCCTACGGCTCAAATGCTGCTATGAAGCTTGCAATCCGTTGGCACTGTGGCTGCGGCTGGGGTCCGGAAGCTTCTTTGCCCTTGGCTGCATGGTTTCCAGATCCCGCGCTGAAATGCCAACAACGCACCGAAGACTCTGTTATCTTTGCGCACAGAATCCAACCGAGGTGCGCGGCTTCTCTAGGTCAAGGTCGGCAGGATCACTTAGGGGCGTCAAAACCTCTTCGAAATCGTCGACAGCCTCGCGTTATACCGAATTCAGACGTCAGAGAAAAATGCAGTTGAGCCGTGCCTGTTGAGTAGCCTCTGCAGCCGCCTGCGGTTCTGCCGCCGATCTCCCCTCCAAGGCAACTTCTTGGGGCTCCTGCCGTGCTGTGCAGTTGCATGCCCCCAGTGAATTCGACGGGCAAACTGTGTCCCTCAAGCCTGCCAACCACTAGGCTGCGTAGCGACCTGCCAATGAAGACAAGCGTTTAACCATTGGATTGAGTTGGATTGGTAAGTGCTACTCCTGGAGCTTGTCAACTGCTTGCCCACACTCCCACCTCTGTCTGTGGCCAGAGATGTGTGCCCGACGGGCCACTGGGACGTGGCTGGCGCTGGCTCGGTCGCACTGATGGACGGGGAGCATGAAGAGCCTGCTCCGTTGCAGATCGTGCTCGAATCTAGCTGGGACTAGCTCAGTGCATTACATGGGGGCGCTGGCACTGAAGGGTTGTGCCCTAGACAGAGTTTGGCGCTGAACGCAAGATCTAACATCTAACTTGCCCCCTCCGGAACCTGTCCACCGCTTGGCTGCGCAGTGATGTCGGCAGCACTCTGCTTGGCCGTGCCCAGAGAGCCACTGGGCCGCAGCTGGCGCCGGCTCGGTCGCACTGATGGACGTGGAGCATGAGGAGCCCCCTCCGTCACCAAGAGCTCATGCCGGTTGTCATTCGTGTGCCGGTCCTACCAAGAAAACACGGCAAGGCGTTTGGCCGCAAAATTGGTAAACTACTGAGCGGTGTGCCCGAACTCCCACCTCTGCCTCTGCCCATTCGCTGCCTGGAGCATGAGGAGCCTTCTCCATGGCCTCTGCCCCTGCCGCTGCCGCATCTTCTCCGGGCTCCTGCGTGCTTTGGAGTTGGACGATTAGCTTTGCGAAATCTACGGGACCATCTTCGCTGAGAGCTTTCCTCCTCCTACTAGGTGGGGGATAAGGAAATCCTGACGGGGGCACTGTTCAAGAAACCAGTTGAGAAATGCAGCCCCTTGGCTCACCGCCAACACAAACTGGATGAAATTAAGAAATCCAGGGCAGCCTGAGCTTCATTCCAGACTTAGTTGTGCGTTTGATGCGTGGTACCAAACTTCCAAAAGCCTGAGCTTGAGGTTTCGAGAGGTGCCTTCTTAGGGATCTCAGCAACTGAGCAGCTTGCCTTGCCCTCTGGGCCTCTCATTTTCAGCTGAGTTTGAAATCTCTCTCCAAGCCGACAAGCTCAAACCAATGTCAAACCAATGATTCTTCTTCACACACTTTAAATGTGGCTGGCTACCTTAACCCTCTCGAAATATGTGCCTCTAAGTGAAGAGCCCAAGAAGCCAAGAGATGCCAGTAGCTGTTGATGCTCATGTTGTCGTAACAACGTTTATGGTCATTGTTATATGACCCATGGTCTTTTGCGGTCCCCCAACTGGACACCAAGTGTATACACACCCACGAAAATTCCTATGGGGCCCTATAGACACTCACCAAAGCCCAGAATAATGCCCACCCTCCACATAACGACGGATACTAAATGAGGCGTTGCCAAAAACAGATAAACAGCTGGTGCTGTTACGATTGCTGTGGCAAGTGCTGTGAGCTAGCTTCAGAATCATGAGAGGAGCTGGTGACTGCCAAGCCGAAGACACAGGTGATCACGAACAAGGAAAAAGGATCTTGCATGATGCTGACGCTGATGCTGAAGCCGATGCCGATGCCGATGCTGACATGAACGTTCAAAGCGACATAATGCAAGAGGCGTGCTCGGTGGTTCTGAGCATGAAGATGGCGATGAGCGGGCAAATGAAAGATGTGGTGAATTGATGATGGGAAGCCTTCTGGTAATCAGTGGCAGATACCTGTACTCAAAGTCAACTGATGATAGGTGACTCCAGGAAGAGGCTGAATGGCGGATGTTCATCTTTCAAGGTTGATGCGGCACAGCGATAGAGTTCTGCGGTGATAGATGGTCTCTTGCAAGCATCAACGAAATAGCCTGATTGGATGACCGGATGCTCGGGAGTTTCCTTGAAAATCAAGGCATTTCCTTCCTAGGCCGACACTAGACCTCCACTGAGGCAGAACGAAAGACTCACCAGGCTAGGTTTCAGCCAGTGCCTCACTGCCTTCGCATTCGTATCGGTATCATCTCTGCAGGTTGAAGGCATGAAATCAAAGCGGCTTGCCGGTCTTAGAAAGAAACCCTCCATTGAGGGGAAGGCTTGGCGTGCAGCAAGGTGGCTCCTCGTCTATGTCGCCAGAAATCTCCTCCTCAGAGTCGCTGTTTTGGACGTCCTGGAGTAACTTGTGCAGCCTCACGCCAGCTGTCCAAATCCATTGCAGAGGAGGATTTATGTGGCTTAGCCCCAGAACGCGCCTGCTTGCCATTTCGGTGCCACTAAGAGCTGTATGCTTCGGAGGGGAATCAGAAGTCGAAGCTCCCACTGACGGCACCGCAGTCGAAGAGGGTTCTGCGGGGGCATGGGATGCCGCCATAGCCAAGGCTTGCGTAGACTTGCAGGGCCACGCATCTTCATCTGGCATGCCAATCACACAAAAGTGTGGCGGTGTGCGGCATGACTGCGGAAAGTCGATTTTAAAGCGGCCTGATGAATCCTCGTACCAGATGCTTGCTTGCCGCCCGGCTTGATCAGCCCTGCAGATTAGGTCACACGGACACTTTAAGACACTGCGCTGCATTGCTGCTTTGGCGAACATGATGAAACGCGGCCTTCCAGCTGATCTGCTTCTGCCTTCCCCTCGCGGACTTCGTGCCACTTCCACAGGCAAGCGGCCTGGATCTTTGCTTCGCTTGGTGCTGGCTTTAGGTCTTGCCTTGGATTGTATGGAGTCTGTACGAGTGTGTGAGAGCTTCAGGGGTCAAGCAGCTTCAGGGTTCAGGCTGAGTGCCAGACAGAAGACTTGAAGGTGCTGGCCTGCCGCATCTCCAAGCTTTGCCTTTCGCCTGACGAGCTTCGCTTGGCGTTTCTTTGCCTGTGAGCGAAAAAATGGGCACCCACATCTATAAGTCTCTAAGTGTCAGCAGGAGTTCAGGCAACCCCTCCTTCTGGACGAGCTTCTTGATCTACATTCGCTGAGCTGACTGCTTCTTGCACCTGGTCATCATGGGACGATCAAGATAGAAGGACTCTAAGGAAAGCATGACTAGCCCTGATGAGCCAGAACTAGACAGCTGAGGTTCATCAGGGACGATGCAAACTCTGGTATTAATTCTGAAACTTATCCTAACTCTGAAAAGGCCTTCAGCTTGCGCACCTTGCTTGCTTTCAGTCTTCGACATCCTGAAGGCGAGGCGAAGCTGATAAAAGGCTGACGCAGGCAAGTTGAAGCAGAAGCAAGAAAAAAAACAAAGGATACTTACGTTCTTGGCTTGAACTTAGTAGCTGCTCCGCAACGAGCTCAGAAACAGCTTGAATGCAAGCTGTCCTGATTCTCCGCTTCACTTTCTTACGTACTTTATTCGGAGATGCTGCGCTCTGCTTGGCCTGTGCAAGCACTTGTGAAGCATCGCGCCGCCCATCAGCAGGCAAGCACTTGCCTTCCCGAAGATGGTGAGCGCCTTCTCTGCATACAGCTTTGCTTTGGCAGGATCCTGCGTAGAAACAGTTAAAATGACAAGGTGGTTTCATGGCTTGCATGAAATGAACCCAGGCCACTCCTTAGAAACCCCAGAACCGTGCTTGTAGCGCTTGCTGAGATGGTAGTTTGCGAGGATGTTCTGCCTGAAAGGCTTCAAGCAACGCAGGCTCAGAACAGATGGTTGCAGATAAGTTGGAATTCCACGCAAGGAGTCTCATGCATGTTGAGCTCCGCGCGGATCCTTTGCCAAGGCCTGCTCCAGCATGTTGACGCTGCTTGCCTTCAGCGAAGATGTTGCCATATCCATCCTAATCCCTTGTTCTTTGCAGTGGGCACCTACCGAACAGAAGATGAGGGAATTTCAGGCACTGGCAGGGACTATGAAGCCCAAGCACGTGGCGCCCGCGCAGAAATGCCTTCCCTGACTCCTCAAGCAGCCAGCCGACGGAGTCTTTGATGCCTCCAGTCGCGCTACAGATCACAATAAATGAATGGACTGGCAAAGCATCTCAGCACACGGCAGGCCGCAGATCTGCAAATGGGACCTTGGCTGCCAAATCCTCCTGCTGCTGCTGCCGCCATATCTACTCATCAGCACAGGCTGTTCAGTAAGACTGCGGCAGTCATCACCCACATCGCTCACGCTGTAGTGGCGCATCTCCTGCAACCACTGGCATGCAGGGCACAAGCGTCAGTGTACATTGTCATTTGGGATTGTTTGCGATTCTCCCTCGCGGGTGCCCCATAAAGGTGGCTGAGGGGAGTGGAGATTCATGATGCGGCTTGAGATATGGTGCTTGACCTTCCAAAACATGGCTAGCATTCTGCTTTGCTGGTGCGCGACTTCTGTTTTTCAATTCTGGCAGTCGCTACAGTGGTCGCGGGGCGTCGACATGCAATATCTGCTGTGTTCACGAAGTCTTTGATTCATACTGGCCTGTTCTTCCTCTTGCTGGCCCCAACTGCCACTTACGGTCTTTTGTGCCTTGAGCTGGCCATGAGCTTGCACTAGATGAGGTTCAGATTCTTGCTGGTCCCGCAGAAAGTCAACAGCATCGTTTCCTGGCCCTGTCTCCAGGTCCATGGTGGCAGGACCCAGTTGAAAGTATTATAGAAGTCGGGAACATGCTGCCTGTGGGACTGGCACTAGCACCGCCAAAGTCCATGGATGCCGATCCTTGTGCTGGAAGGAAAACCTCAAATATACATTGGCGATGTTCGGTCACTTACTCAATAAAACCAACCTTACTTACACCCCTCCCATTGAGGCGGCCGTTTCTGTGGAACACTTGGTCAGCTCTGCAGCAGACTACGCGTCGTGAACGACAGGCTGGTTGCCTCCTGCCTCCAGCCCTAAGCATCTTTAGCTCCTGTCCTCGATGCAGTCCTTGTGGAAGACATGGCTGCATTGCAGGATGCTTCTGTCATGACCTGGGCTGATGAAGAGCGGATTGTGGAGCTGGACGCACGCATGCACGCATGCAGGATAAGCTAGATTTCCGGCCTGGCAGCTTCTGCAAGCATATCTTGCAAAACTCCTTCATGCTAACGAGCCATCGGCGAGCGAAGAAGCGGCATCCAACAGACCCATGGGCGGCTGCCAGAAGCTATAGCCTTATCGCACCTCTGTTTGATTTGAGGTTTTGAAGTTCTGAGGCCAGCTTGATGGTGGAGAGTAGGGAGTCGGCCCGAGCTTGTTGTTTGTTCGCGCTGGGCGCAAGCTCCTGCACCAGCAGCAAGGCCGGCAAGCTAGCAGACCATGCTTGGTGCAGAGAAGCTTGTCGTAGACAGGGTGGCTCTACTGCGTGGGTTTGTCATGCTACACATTGCGAGCTTCATGATTTTGAGGCACAATGAGCCAAACAAAGCAAAGGGAAAATGTGCAGTGAAGGAAATCACCATTCAGCACCACGGCACAAATCTGAGCTCCAGCTGCGCCTGCTGCAATTGCGGCTTGCACTTTGGCCACAACATGCGGAGGAAGTGCCCTCCCGCCAGCTGATCTCAGTCTTGCCTGTCAGGACAGCACTCAGCCACCGAATCTCGATGCATTTTCGAAGAAGTGGCCTCCAACTCCCCCTTCTCAGAGTCAAGCTTCTTATAGGCCTTCAAGATGTGTCGCACACGGACCAAGCCCTACCAGTACGAGCACAAAGCCCTACCGGCCCATGTCATCTCATTTGTTTTCTGCAAGGCTTCGCTCTGTGCTTCACTCTTCGGTGTTTCACGTTTGCGGACCGCTTCGACCACAGCAACGCCAGGCCTGCCATAAAGGCTGCTGTCATTCAATTGAGTATGACTCTAAGCTATGCCATCCTTGGTCCCGCCGAAGTTTTGTTGGAAGGAACTCTCGCACAGCTCGGTTGCGATGCAAGGCCGCCAGCCAGAACTTGCCTTCGTCTGATGCACGAGACACGAGATGATGTGAGACGCCTTCGCACTGCACAAACATTGGGGCAAGGCAGTTGGCTTTATCCAAGGCACGCTTCTTCTTCAGGTCCTCCAGGTTCCACATGTGTTCAAGTCTGCAACTCTGAGACGGACAAGTCAACACTGATGCCCAGCCTCTGCAACGAACCTCGCTTCACGCTGTGACAAATTCTGCTCGACATCCCATCACAAGCACGGACTTCAGCAAGGACGTTCAAATGTATGCCAAGCCACATCGCAGCAGAGGGATTGTTGGCAATGGCAGCCAGAGCAATCTGCATGTCCTCCTGGAACTGAGGTGCCGCCCATCGCAGCACCGAGCCACTGCTGCGCACTGCTTCCAGGAAAACCTCAACAAAAACTTGCATCAAGTCGAGACAGCTGAGACGAGCCGTGACGTTGAGGCACAGGCATCGCGGCAGCCTCGAAGCTTCCCGTCCGCATAGACTACCGCGAAACCTGATGCCGGAGCCCGGAGCCCGGAGCCGCTGATCGGAAAGCAATCCAACGCCAGTGATTCAATGATCAAGCAGCCGTTCTGCTTTACTGCCTCAAGCACGACTTCTGCATCAGACTTCAGACCACCTGAAAAGGACTCTTCACACTGTTCCGCTCTGGCCCCAGCATCTGCACGGCCGCTTGCAAAACGCGCCTGCCGCATATTGCAGCATGGTCCCCTCGCAGCGTACAGCAGCCAGAACAACCCCTCGATCTTCTTGCATTGCTTTGCAGGCATAGCCAAGCCTGCAGCAGCTCTACTGCAACTCTACGGCATTCGTGAACGCAAGCAAAGCGGCAAAGCAAATACAACAACAGTAGGCGTCCAATTCAAATGAATTGATGTGATTTCATGTTGCACATTCTGGTTGCCCAGGAACACAGCACTGTTGCTCACGGCGGCCAACACAATCTCACCTTAGGACAGGGAGCACTGCAAACACTTCCATGAAGGCACCAAGCCGGGGGGACGATCATGCTGCAAATGTTCGTGGATCCGATTCAGCAGGAAGCCATCATTGCTAACCGCAGCCAGTGCCACCTAGTTTGGTCGCTGCTCTCTGCGCATATCTGCATTAATCCGTGCTCTCGATTAATAAGGGTGCCCCGCCCGCCCCCCGCCCCAATTAATAGAAAAGCCTCCTTATTTCAGGGGCCCCAGATGCCAGAAGGAGATTTCAATTGTAAATGACGTCCAGGGTCCAAGCAAAATCAATATGCATTCAATTAAAATGCATTGAATCTTATTGGAATCGGACCCTTATTTTCTTAGGGTTTGGGGAACCCACGGTGTTTTCGGCCCAAAACCGGCCTCTTGAAATCTAAGGGGTTTCTTAATCAAGAGCACGGATTATCTATATGAAAGGGCGGGCCTCTCGATCTGATCTGACAGTGTCAGGAAGGCTCTTGAAGATGTTGGCGCTCTGCTTGACAGCTGCAAGTGCAATCCAGCGATTGGTCTTAAGTTCCGGCGCCACATGCTGAAACGCAGTGAAGTCCGATTTGACTGCCGCAAGGGCAATCTCGGGATCACACTTCCTCAGATCGACAAAACAGCTCGATTCTTGCAGGGGATGGTGGGAATATGTGGGAATGAGGCCAGGCTTCAAGTCCTCCTCAAGAACAAACTTCAAAGCCTCGCTCCACGTAGTTTGGCAAACATGCTTGAATCCAGCTTGTGCCTGGCCACAGCTGCAAACGGCAGCAAGCCTCGCGAAAGGCAATTAAGTCCGCATGAGCATTTATTTCCGGGAGGCCCATGAAGCTTGGGATCTGGCACCACATCCCGATCTTTGCGGAAGCGTGGTGCCACGTATCTCAGGGCAGCAGGCGGCTGAGGCAATAAAAGAGCGAAGGTCCATCTCGAAATTGGATTCCGGCCGCAGGGCTGCGCCACTGCTTCTCACTGCGGCCATGGCAATGTCTCGGTCCTTGCACGATCAACCAATCCTCACATGCAACGTTGGTCTCTAGTTGCCTCAGCCAACGTCGCGCTGACGTACTCTATGGCCGAGCCGGTCGTCTTCACAGCGCGCAAGGCAACCTACAGCTGCAACATGCTGCAACGGTTCTCCGGCAGACGAACTGTACGCACCTCGCGGTCTGCCTTCAAAGAATCTGCGGCATGGCGAACCTCAGCGCTTCTTTGGCATTTCAGCGCCGTTGCACTCCGCAAAATCTTCACAGGCAAGGAACTGCAAACCCATCGTTGGCCACCGCAGCCAGAACAACCTCCCGGTCAGCCTGTGATAGGGCAAGAACCACCTTTGCGACTATCACAATGAGCGAGTCTTGTTTGCCTTGAGGGAGTCATTCAGGTACCGAAGCACGAAGCCACGGTCCCTCACGGAGGTCAAGGCAATCTCCCGGTCACCACGCAGCTCTTGAGCAGCATGCACGATTGCGAACCCTGTGTTTTGCACCTTGGTGGCACAGCCACTGTAGCACATACAGAAGCTGAAGCTAGTGAAGCTGCCGTGGCGCGAAAGGCATGAGGTATGAGATGCAAAGCCTTTAAAGCTTGGGTGCCGCTGCAAGAACGATGTCCCGATCTTGGCAAAGCGGGGCTGGAAGGCTTTCCAGACCTGGAGTTGAGCAGCGGCCAACTGCAACCTCGTCCCATCTCATCTTACATACTCCGCATGTTGATCATCCTACTAGGGTTGAGTTTGCGAACCGTACAGTAAACGAGCCAAATGAAGGATTGACTCCCTTTCCAAAATGCACTGCTCTAAAGTATGTGAGGAGGGAATTGCAGACCCGCGGTAGCTCCTGTAAGCCCCATATCATGTAAATCTCCCATCCAGAGGACCTAGGGGAAGTTGAGCACTTGATTGGCACGCATGTTCATATACTGGGCGCACCTAATGACAGCATTTGAGCCGGGCCTTGGATATCGCTTTCCAAGACTGTGCATTCAAACTTATTTGGGAAAGACCATGTTGCTTCACAGATTAAACGCATGATTTCCAGGACTTCTCAGTTGATTTCACCCAGGTGTCTCAATGACAAACCTAGAACTGTCTCTGACGCCTCGAGCATGCCTGCATTACCCTTGAACTGTCACATGCATCTGGGGCTTCCGCTCAAGCCATTGCTTCTGACCGCTTGCAGGGCCTTTGCGCGCACCGGGTCTTCACGAAGCAGCACCAGAGACAGGGGCAGCCTCGGATAGTGGAAGGTTCGGAAGGCATGTTGCTTGGGATGATGTCCTTGTCTTCCAGCTTCAGGGGAAGCTGAAAGAGAAGAATGCGATGCGAGGGCTTTCAGGAGCGCCGGGAAAGTCGGGAAAGAGCTGCAGGTGCTGAGATGTGCTCATCTCAGGCATGAAACGTCGCGCTGTGCATGCCATTTCCCACATCGCCCGCTTTAGCCATAATCGTCTCATCGTCCTTGAAGCAGACCGATAATAAACGCAAGCCGGCAGCTTCTTGCCGGAATCTATGGGCGCATGCTGGGGATATTTTTGTCCTTCAACTCGCGATCGCCGAGGATCAGCCTCTGCCTCAATCTACACATATCTACAGCATCCACACAGGTGACAGCTCGGCCCGCAATTAAAGGCAGGTCCGGGTGCCAGTATGCACAGGTCTCAAGAGCGGACAAGCGGCTCAATACATGGAATGCCTGTCATCGAGCAGATGCCAGCTTTCACATCCTGAGCTTGGTCATCCCTTATTGCAGACGCAGACAGAGGGCATAAGGGGCCAGCCCTGCCGGGAGTCAAGAACATTGCTGTTGCCCGCGCAGCTGAGGGAACAGATAAAGCCAGAGAGCCCATGCAGGTGCACTTCCATGGGAGCTGCGAGCTGGTGCCTAAAGATAGTCAACCAATGTTGCGAACTCCAGAACCCAAGACTGTTTGTCTGTTTTGCTTAGAGCCTTTTACTCTACATGCGTGTATTCCACCTCAGCACGACGACTCAAACGCAAAGGCAACCATCAAGAAAAAGTTGCCAAAAGCCCTTTGACATACCCATTCCACATGTGTAACCCACTATAGCTTGACATGGGCAAAAATCTCACCTGTGTAGGGTTCTTCCATTGGGCATTATGTGCTGGACATGTTCGGATGTGCATATGCATGATCCTTCGCAATCCACCTGCATCCAACGCAGCAATTGCAACGTCTTGGTAGTCTGAGCAGGAAACGACCACGGCTGACAAAGTAAAAGCGTTGGAGCACCAAGCAAACCCGTGCTGAGCCCCGAGCTGTCGCCAACTGCTTGAGCTTTTTAACTTGCTCCTCTGCAACATGAACTGCACACTTGGCCAACTGACACACTCTCAGATCTCAGGTGTGTGTTGGAGATCGTCCTTTGTCTTTTCCTCGGCTGCCTCAAGGTCCTGTGCAAAGCTCTGCGTATGTCCACACTCGAGCACTTCTTACCGTTGCCTTTCGGAGTGATGCAACCTCTTCAAAGCTGCCACTTGTGCTCAGCCTAAAGGTGCTGATGCTCTCAGCAGAGTTCGAGGGAGCTCAAGAGCTGAACACTTCGAGGCTGAAGCGTCTCAGAGGAGGATGGAGATGCCTTCAAATTCATCGACGTAACTCTCGGCTCTGCAAGGGCTTTCTGCGCAAAAGGCCGAGCCTGAGCACCTCCCTTGAAGTACTCGAGCTCTTTCCTTGAAACAGGCTGGGCGGCTTCATGCAAGAAAGAATGCCAATGTGCCAGAGCCGAGCCACCCCTGCTGATCAAGCTGCTTGGCCTGCTTCTTCGCCAACTGCCTCATGGTGTATCATGCTTGGGCAGTCATCTTGCGTGAAACATCTTTCGCACGAGGAAGGTGCTCCAGCTGCTCGATACGTGTCTGCGCATCTTGCGCCTGAACTTCGAAGAAAAAAAAAAAAAGCAGCGCACATGATAGGCTTGTTGCATTTAGGCGACACCCGTCCTCCGCACCGTTGCCTGGTCTTGGCCGCCCTTCCAAGTCCGCAGCCAGCTGCGCCACATCCTAAGCCCAGAGAGGAATGGTAGCCAATCCTGCTGCACCCGTTGGTGTTGCAAAGCTCCTTCTCCCAGCGCTCATGAAGCTGGGTCAGCTCTGCGTGCTCCTCTGCCGCCTCCTCCTCTGTGGGCCTTTAGGGACTACTTGTTGCCTGCAGGGACTGTGAGGAGCTAAGCCCGGTGCATTCGCTGGAGTTCCCCGGGGAGCGAAAGGTTCGGCGACTTTGACTGGAACCAGGCCGCTTGGTCTTTCAAGCGCTGCGCCACAGACCTTGAAAGGATCACGTCGAACACGTACGAATTAATTCTCCCAGGACAGTCATGAAAAGTCCCAGCCACTGCATGTGTGCCAGCTTTCTTCTGGTCTTCTGGAGCTCGCCTCGCTTTTTGACAGCCGTATTTGTTGGAATCTCACTTCAGAACAAACCGGCCTTTCACAAGCGCATTCTGTGAGCGATTGACCTGCTGAAAGCTCTGCAGCTTCAGGGCCATCTTCGCCTCATCTCCTTTGGCTCGCTTGAGCTCCGCCTGGCGCTTGGCGGGCTACGTACGGCTTTTGAAACTTTGTCCACACACACACACACACAGAAGCGACCTGAACCTCCTGCAGCTGGTCCTGAATTGCTTCCTGAGATGTCACAATTCCAAGCACAAGCTACCTCAACAAGGTGGGAGCAAGGATTTCAGCAAGCATGTCTAGATACGTCAAGCATCCAGCTGCTCGGCAAGTTGGCTGCACTTCTCTTCCATTTCAGGATGATTGGCATCATCGAAGCCCAAGTCCATCATCTGCTGCATTCTCGAATTCGCTGGCGGCAACATGGATCTATCAGCCATTGTTGGGTCGTAGACCTGTGGCAGCTTCTAGCTTCGTGTTGCCATGTTTAAGACAAAGTGCCTCCCTGTGAGTGAACTCTGTGTGACTTGAACGCAGGACGTTTGGTCAAACCTTTTCTTCTTCTTTGCATGTTCTCTGGACTTCGTGTCTTCAAGATGATGGCCGGCCTTTGGCTTTTGGAAAAGCTTCTCCGCCATATCGCGGCTGTGGGTTGCCCAGGCAGCCGTCCTAAACCTCGGCTGCTCTTTTGAGCAGCTTCCCGGAACCTGACTGGGAAGGTACAACACACGCTCACCCAGTGCGTCTTCTTGCGAACTCCTCACTGAGGTGCGTTGGTTGCCAAGTGAACAGTCTTGACGTGTTGATGCTCACTGCTGCGTGTAAAGACGAAACACTCACCAATGCGAAGTGATTCAACAGTAGTTCATTTCTACTAAACCTTCCCCAGCAAAAGCACTTGAGCCTGTGATTGGAAGTAGACAATTCGGCTTGAAGCGGAATGCTTCTAAGAAGCAGAAGAGGAGAGCCTCCCTTTTCCCTTTTTCTGCCGTTCTTTGGAGAAGCCTCTTTCGCCGTCGCCTTCGCATTCGCGTTTCGGCGCTTTGGCGCTTGTGGCACTTTTGGCGGCGAGGCCCGGAAGTCGCCCTGCGAAGCAAAGCGAGAGGTTTAGGCATGCAACTCAGGCTGAAGGAGGCACCTCCAAACGCTCTGTGGAGATATAGGACGGCATCGCCACGTGCTGCCAGGGTGCACCTCCAAACCAGGTCACCTTTGCAGGGATAAAAAAAAAGAAAACTAGAGTCAAAAAAAAATTGTTAAAGTTTCAGCCTCCAAGGGCAGCTCCTTTGCGGGGCGGCTGCTCTTCGTCCAGCGTTCTTCGCGGAGGACATGGCAAAGATTCTGGCAGCGCCGGTGCAGACCACCCTGATGCGGGACTCATCAAACATCCGCAAACAAAGTATCTGAGCTCGTCCCAGAGAAGTGGCACATTGCAGCCTTCAGCGGAATCAGCTTTCGAGAGCTCACAGCGCGTTCACGCTTTGCTCGCCATTCGAAACGAGCGGCATCCTCTTTGCTGGGGAAGCCTCGTACCTGGGATTGCTATCTTCTGCTGCATCGCAAGTTGGGCCTTGAACAAGAAGCTGCATGAGACTCAGAAGATTTCAGAAGAACTCTGATTCGATGCTGGGCCGCTACGCACAGAACCCGCCAGGGGCCACCACGGCGCGTAGCGCGTGCCCCGCCCCGCAGCTCGCCGTTGTGTTGGCGCAGCCGCCTGCCAAGGTCCGTCGTGATGCCGGTGTAGGTCCTCCATAGCTTCTCAGTTCTAGCCTCGCATCATAGGAATGATGCCACGGCGACATAGAAGCCATAAGCCCATACGCTTCTTCTGCTGCTAACATTTGCTGCTACAAGCCCAAGGTCTTCGTGGCCCTTCCCCTAAATTGGAGACGCGAGAGGCGTGTCCTGGCACGGACCGAGGTATCTGACCGCAGCACATAGCAGCAATAGCCTGCAGTCTCAACCTGCTTGCCTGCCTTACCTAGCAGCATGCAAGCATGCTGCTGAGCCTTCGGAACGAGCGGCCCCGTCATTGGTCTCCTGCAAAATCTATCATGCAACCTTGCAGAGAGAGGGTGGTCAGCCTCATCGCTGATTTCAATGACCTTGACGCCTTCGTGACCATCACCTCCAGCGGCAACTCTTTAAAACTGCAAAGAGCTGAGACATGCCGCTCTTGCCTGGGCTTGCAGTCGACGTCTGCTGTGCTGGGCGCTTTAGTATGCGGACCATGGACAAAGTTTGCAATTCCTGTGGTTGTTGTCTTGTTTGCTTCCAAGTTTCTAAGATGCCAATGTCATAACTGTTGCGCTTCCCTTCTCTGTGATCACTTCCCGTCATTTGATCCTGCGGGCCTTCAGCCCATGCCTCATCCTGCCAGAATGTCTGGCCCCCGAGCACACAGCACACCGCCACACCTCTTTTGGATAAGGAATCGACAATTCAGGCCACCTTTGGTGTTGCCTGCATATCCTGGACAGACACAACTTGTCCTAGAAGCCCTGATCACTTCGATCCATCATCATCGCGCAAAGCCTCCCAGTTTGCAAAACAAGTTGAGCTACTTGAGACCTCAAAGCCTTCCTTGTCCACGTCTTCCAAGGACACGAGTCCAAGAAGTCGGGGCCTAAATTCACTGCAACCCCAACTGCACGACAGTCCAGTCTGAGAGCCGCACGCAACGTCAAGTGGCGGCAGGTCCTGCGGCACCGGAGGCTGAATGCTACTGTACCATGAAACTTCTCCCTCATCTCGCCTCGAGCACCGCAAGCCGTGCTCCAGGACCAAGCCGAAGAAGCTCCTTCCGAGCGTCTTGAAGCGGCAGCGACCTCAAACCGCAGGCTTAGGAGTTGCATCCCGTCCGCACGTCTGCGTAACCTAGTATAGCCCGAGGCCATTGCGGCATCACTGCAGACACCTTTGGTGGCTGCATGTGGCTGCACATCTCTGCAAGCCGGTCCCCGATGTTTCCTGTTTTCTGAGCTCCAGGCTGCGCCTTGTCGCGGTTCCTTTTCAAGGGAGGCAAACTGCCCGACCAATCTGGCAGCCTGAGGCCCCAGCGGTTGCCGTGCGGGTACACAGAAGCCTCAACGGTTCACCTGCTACCGATGCTCGTCACCACATGACACGCACAAGACCTCCGTTGCCTCCTGGGCTCGCAACAGTACGAGGCTCCTGCTTGCACGGCAGTACAATTGTTCCGGGATTCAGCTACTCAGCAAGCCTCCGGAGATCTCACCGGAGGATCTCTCATCAGCTTCGGCGCTCTAGATAGCGCGTCTTCCACGTACACAGCCACACCTTGCGCAGTGATCGCAATCCTTCACATGGACCGACACAATTCAAATTGTTGGACCCCACCTAGCAGTTAACATGCCAGAATTGCAAGCATGCTTTAAAGCACAAAGGAAAGCCAACCTGGCAAGAATGAATGGTGTTTCAGGTTCCCCTCTAGGCTTTCTGGATACAGAAACACTAGGCGCGCGGACCCGCTTCATTTCACATTAGTTGTGAAGGAGGAAGCCTGAAGGGGTAAGCTTTTTATTAACAAAGGGCGGGCTGGACAAATCCCAAAGCTTTAGAACACGTAATAACAACAGATTGGCTACCCTCAGCCTCAACAATCTCTGTAGACACCAACTGACTGAGACCAGAGTAGTATATTCTTGCTCGGGGGAGGCCTGAAGCTTTCACGCTCAAACGCCTGGATTCAAATTGAGGGCTCAGATTCCCGGAGCTCTACTTGTGTTGACTCACTGGATCACCTAAGCCTAAACAAATGATCGACTTCGAACATCCCCACGCTTATTTTTTCGGTATCATCAGCTGCTTCGGGCAACAATATGGAACATGTATCAGTAACGTAGCTCTAAAAGGTTGCGCCAACCTGCAGACATCACTGCTGTTGGGCTGGTGGGGTGGCTTGTGAGGCATGGATTCTCAACCGTTATGCTCTGGGGTTGGGCGTACCCCGAAGTTGAGCACTGCAGCGAGAGATGGCGGCACTGCATGCAACCTTTCGAGTATTTCGGGTTGGGTTGGGCACAGCAGGGATACTCTGAGGTTGGCGCTGCAGGGATAATCTGCGGGCAGCGCTGGGCACTGTTGGGATACTCTGTGGATATTCTTCGATTGGGCACTGCGGGGATACTCTGCTGTTGGGCATGCCAGGGATACTCGGCGCTTGAATACTCTGCGTTTGGGGACTGCACGGAGGGCGATGAGAACATAGACGTTAGGGTGGGGAATTCTGGCAATGTCCCTCGGCCGCGCTCTTTAGCGAAGTTGTTGCATGCCCGCTCTAATGTGCAATGATTGAAAGGTTTGGGTTACAATTCAGAAGCTGGAAGGCTCCAAGTCCCAAAGCCCCAGTCCAGTCAATATCAACTTGTGGATCTCCTGGAGCCACAACCTGGAGCCTCAACCATCCTTTTGATCAGGGCAATTGCAACTAACACTTGCAATGCTGCGATTCTTCAAGCCTAGTGCTCCTCCATATGTGCGCCAAGCCAAGACTAGTACTCACACTGATACTTCAGGTGGACGCTGTTTCTTCTGCTCATATCATTGCCTAGTGTCATGAGGATACTATTACTTGGACTTTCGTGTTAAAAGCTGGCGACGAATACAGGACTAACGCTAGTGCCTTCTTGTTCCTCCTCCTCTTCTACTGCTCCTGCTCCTGCTCCTGCTCCTGCTCCTGCTGCTGCTGCTGCTGCTGCTGCTGCTAGCCACCCCCCAAACCATGTTCTCATAGATGCCGGGGAGGTGCCCATTTCCTGCGTTTCACTACTTCGAAACATACAAAAGCCGGTAACATTCCACACAAGCGAGGACCTCCCCATTTGTTCAGGGCTTCAGCATGTGTAAGCTGGGGGAATTACAGCATTGCATGTATTATATTGTAGTATATCAGCAAGTACTCCTGCTAGCACTACCACTACCAGTCACTACCAGTGCCCCTGCAACTACGAAAACTACGACTACTGCTACGCGTACCAAGACCCGCACTACTCTCGGCAGCCACGCCTATTTCAAGATTGTCTGGGGATGCCGCTTAAAGAGTGCTGGGTAAAGCAGACCCGCAATGCAAAGGGTTTGATTGAACCAGCGCCTACAGCCGCCACCGTCGGGAGCACTACTCCGTAATCCTTTCCGCCAGCCAGCTCCAGCAGAAGCACCACTGCTGTCAACGGCACGTTGCACACGGAGCCCAGGCAAGCAGCCATGCCAACAACGGCATACGTGGCAGGAACTGAAAATACAAATGGACCGTCGCTTTTGAAAAACTCAGGCAGCCAGAGGGCCAAAGGCCATAGAAAATCTCGCAGGCTGCGGCCTAGCAAACCTCCCAAACATGCACCGATGAAGAGCGCTGGTGCAAAGAGGCCGCCCACCTGCCCAGAGGACTGGCACACAGACGTCAGGAAAATCTTGGCCACGATTAGCACCAAGAGGTGTGTGAGATAATCCCCCGCAAAAGCATCCGGTGGCTGCCGCGAGCCATCCACTTCTTTCAATATCAGATTCACGTTGTCGAAGCCCTTGTAAAGGACCTCCCCCACGTTTCCGTAAACAGAGACGACGACTACCACGGCTGCGGCTAGCACTGGAAAAGTGAACCTTGGGTTAGGAGCAAGGCATGTTTGAGGAGCCTACAGGTTACCGGACGGGATTGAACGAAAAAAGCTTCGTACAACCCCCGTAGAACCCAGACCTCGGGGCACCGAAGTCTTCCAAGCAGGTGAAGGTTTGCTTGGCCGCTTGCCGCGTCGCACGTAAAGCAAAGGCTGCCAGGCCGCAGAGGAAGCCCAAAAATATGAAAACCGGCATCTCCCAGAGAGAGCGGCTTGGGACCCAGCCAAAGAACTCCAGATCCACCGCAGGGCTAGAGCCGAGACCGAGCTGTGATACCTGTTCAGACTCTTGCTTGTGCTACAGCTCTCCCGCTACTCAAGGAAGCGAAAAGCGTTTATGATATTCTGGGACTCTACAGTAGGATTATCGTTCAAGTCTTTCAGGCAAAAACAGGCCAGGAAAGCGTCAAGACCGTGCTAGAACATGTAGAACGCCAAAGGGCTCACGCATTGACCTCCTGCATTGAATCCGAAATGAGCACCCAAACACAAGACAGATGATTGAATGACACATCAACCTATAGACAACAAATCAGGATGCAACAGTTGCAATGCAGCTGTGATGCCGTTGCAGCCAACACGGCAGCCAACAGCTGCATTGGGGGGCCTTTTGCCCGAGCACTTTCAGGCCCACAGTTGGACTGAATACTTTCTAGAGCGAAGAAGAGGCCAGCCACTGGAGCGTTGAAGCCAGCTGCAATTCCACTGGCACAGCCCGCAGCAAGCAAGTTCTGGCGCAGGGAAGTCTCGACGTCCACTTCATCGCGCTCCTGGTATGCGGATAATCTGGCAGCCACGTTCGCGCCGATCTCCACACTTGGCCCCTCTGGCCCTAGGGAATTCCCTCCTGGCAGGCACGAGGAAGGCAAGCACAGACAGACCAAGGGGCATCAAGGGGCACAGCACCAGCCTACCAGCCTGCCAGTGTCAAGCCAGCGGCCAAAGCCCGTAAAGGTGCCTCTGTGCTATCCTCAGGTGGCTTTCCGCCTGATGCCTTCAAAGAGGCAAGGTCAGAGCTCCCAGAAAGACCTTTGGCACCCCTGGCCAGCAATAGCAAACTGACGAAGGACGCTGAGATGATGGGGGCCAGCAAGCTCAGGCCCGGCAATTCCATCAGAAAATCTTGTAGCAGGTGCACAAAGTCGTTCAGCATTACCACAATGGTCCCAGTCGTGAGACCAGCTGCTGAAGCTAGCAGCAAAGGTGAAAAAGTTCCACCGTTCGCCCGCATTGTCATCCTTCCGCGAGACGGAGCCACGCTGCCCGGACGGGGCAGGCAGTGCGACCTCGCACTGAGTCGATCGCCACTTTGGACAAAAGACATCGCGGCAGGCGTTGCCCTCTTGCGAAGCAGTGTCCCTGCAATCAGAGCCTCAGCAGAAAAGTATTCACCTTGAGTAGCGTGAAGCATGGCCCGCCCTGGCCCGCCCTGGCCCTTCTGAGCTGCTGGCCGACAAGGCGCATCCCCGGCGCTTGCTAGCTTTTTGCTTCCCCATTCTATACTCTTACCTAAGTTGCCTAGGCTCCCAGCATGAAGGAGAACTAACTGAACGGGTTCTTCTAAGGGCTTGTGATGAACATCTCTTACCGCTGAGCAGACTGCATGCCATATAGTTTCACTCCTTGCAGAGGACAGTGGCAGCACGGGGAACAATTTCACAGCATATGCAGGCAAACCTTTTGCAACTTGCAAGCTTGCGATGGCTTGTGTGACTCCATGCGATCGCTGGCGAAGGCAAGAAGGCCAAGAGCACCAAACATGTACAAGTTCACCAGCTTCTCCTTGGGAGGCACACCAACCCTCAGTCCTGACCCTTGGTTCAAAACATGCCTTCTTCACAATCTTGACAGGAGCCACACAAGCCCTGTATTTGTACCTGAACCCGTCAGGATGCCTCTTCCATCGCCTGGCCACCGGTCTTCAAGAAATGCGTTGACGCTTGAAGTTGGCCTGGCAACAAGGAAAGCATCTGGCTTGAAAATGCTTGGTGCTCAGAGGTTCAGCCTGGTAGCCCTGGTAGCCTTTTCCCTTGCCGGGCCTTAGTTGTCTTAATGGAGGGCATGCTAGACATGCTATGCCTCAAGCTAGACATGGCACTTTGCCGTGCTGCTTCTCACCGGCGTGCCAATTTCCCACTCGCCGTGAGCCCTGACGACTGCTGCTGTTCAACTGTACGGAAGGTTCCTCGCCTCTTCAGATCGTTGATCAGTCTGAGCACCAAGCCAAGTGCATTGACCCGCCGCCTCGCACAAAGATGCACTGGCGCATACTTGGGCCTTCTCAGGTGCTCTTACTTATATTGTGAGCCTGGCTGCACTTGCCCTGCTCCCAGAACTTGCAGATGCTTCTGCGCAGGCTGGATCCCTCCTGCAAACTGAGAGTGCAGAATTTTTGACTGAAGGTGCACTTGTTGAAGGTCGGCTGAGGCCTCCTGTGATTGCGCCACCGCTCCACCTCTCCGCCAGTGACAGCTCAGCTGTCTGCGGCACTCAGGCAGGAAATGGTAGTGTCCTCCGCAGCCTTTTGAAGCTGGAGGGGCCATCGCCGGCGGTGGCCCGGCCATACGGTCCTGCAGCAATGCTCGCTCCTGCTACCCTTTTGCGGCACGTGCAAACCGCTGCATTTTTTCCGCAAGCCGCAAAGGACCGCACTGCCAAAGACTCACTCGAAACACTTCTGCTTCCTGACAGGTGCTGGCAGGACCCATGAACTAGCATCTGCTTTTGTTTGGCCTCCAGCCCAGGGAGTTCACAGCGCGCAGGACAACGAGAAGACGTGGCCAAGAACTGGATGGCCATCTTCAGCGCGAAGCTCGCAGCTCCAATCCCGAAGAACCTTGAGGGCTTCGCGTCACACCTTGCTTTTTCGTGCAGTGGTTGACCCCTACCAGGCCTTGAACCCGTGCTCTCGTGCCACCGTCAAGACATATTCGTGACTGTGAGCAACACGGCCCGAGGCCTGCAGTCGTAAACAGGTTCTTGGCCCTTGCCGAAGGATGTTTCGTCGATTCTGACATGGAGTTTCAAGGCGACAAAGCAGGGCTCCTGCAGCTGGTAGTGTGGCACTGTCTCGTTGCCAGTTGGCTTCTCCGTGGAGAAGACAAAGAGGCCTCCATTACAGGGCAGCTGCTGCACAACCGAAAAGGTGCTGATAGACAGCTTAAGCAATTTGAAGGAGAAACCTGAGAAAAGGATAGAGACAAGGCTTGGAAAGTGACCTTTGTTGTCTAGATTCTGGTACACGAGCCGAAAGACTGGCGCAAGATCGCCGACCTTTGACTCTGGCTGCAGGGACGTACTCCAGAGAAAAGCTTCGCATCGGTCCGAGTGGCATAGCCAAATACATCTGCGGCCACGATCAGGTCGAATGGGGAGACAGATCGCGTGCAGTCCTGAAATTCGACATAGCCGTACACTGCTCGTCACCGACAGGCCACCAGGCAGCATAATGCAACTTCAGGCAACCAGGGCTCTGCGAGGTGATCAAGCAGGTCGGCGCAATGCAGCTCATCGTAGCACCCCTTCATCTCTGCCTTGGCGGGAGCTTCTCCATGCTGCAGTTTTTCTTCCATATCTCCTTCCCCTGCATAGCGAAAGACTGCAATGCAAGGCTCGAGCGTCAGCTGGCTATTATAAGCTTTTTTTCTCTAGGACTTCCTAGTTGTACTTCAGCTGGGAACAATGGCTGCCTCTTGTGCTGCGTGGCTCTCTACAGCTCAAGGCAGTGGCGCAGGCTCACGCCCAGAAGGACTCTGGCTGCAGCTGCTGCATCGGATTACTGACTACTGCTTTGATGCAGATGGGAACTAGACTTGCAATCCCTGCATCTTCGGCATCGCGCTGGACCACTCCCTGCAACCCAGCTCCGCGAAGCACAGGCCATGAAAAATGAGCGCACAGACGATGTTCCTGCGATGGTGATGATCTGATGGAGAGTGCTAGGTCCTGGTCAACGGAGAGCTTGGGAATGCCACCAAACTTCATGGGGAAACGCTTCCCGGGCCAGCGTTCCCTCGTCCTGTTGCCTGCTTCGCATAATTTCAATGGAAGGATGGCGAGGCTAAGAACTTACGAGAACGTCGAGTTCCCAGTGGATCGCCACGAGGTTCACCTTCTTCGGCTCTACATGCCACGGCAATTAGCCAGTGCTGAGGTCCAGGACCCCTCGCATAGTTCCCGTTCACCAAGGCACCAAGGAGACGCAGACAGAGAGAGCAGGCCAAGGCAGAGGGTCGCGGCAGGGGCCGCTAGCACACCTTGTGGAAGCTTGGACGAGCTCATTGCTTCTCCCGCGCGCCGTGCTTCGGTGACTTCGCATAACTGTGGTCGTCGGCAGTGCTTAGGTTCTACATACGGCTCTTACACCTGCGACTTCGACGGCTTGCCTGGCAGCCCAGCATGCTGAGCCGCTTGGGCAAAGTATGTTCTGCTTGCGATGCAGGCGCAAGGGTAATCGCGCTGTGCCGGCCAAATAGCTTGCGCCCTCCCATTGTTGGAGATGCCTTTGCATCTCAAGGCAATCATTGCCCATTTACCAGTTCAATTGCTTGCCAAATGCTGACTTCCCCCACTTCCCCTTCGGCATAGCTTTCTCATGCCGAACCTGCTCAAAAGCAATTAACGAAAATTCTTGGCCGCTGATGACATTATGTTCTCCATAAACGGCTATCGCACTTGCCACGAAGCTTTGTTCCAATTTTAGTGTCCTCAACTTTTCATACTTTGACCAATAACGTGCTAGTATGAGAACTTCAGTGGGCTGCCAGGTGCATGTTGACCTTCCTGGACCGACCAATTTGTGTAAGGGCTCGTCTCCGTGTTATCTACCCTGGTTCGCGTCCCCTTGCCGCAACGATCAGGGCTTGGTTGAGCTGGATCCCTTTGCCGGCGCAATCGCTCACCCATGCCGGATCAGATGACAGGGATTCCGGACCCCAGGGAATTCTTAAAATAGGTGAAGGAGTCACCGACCGCGTGTTATTGCTAAGCAGCGTGCGTTTGGAAGTGGTTGCACTGCAGGGGCATGATCATGTTGACCAGGCAAGTTATTTGCTCAACAGATGTAAGAAGGAACATCCTGCAAAACGCCTCCGCAAGATGCATCAAGTACACACATTGGCACGGTTGTTTCTCAATTGGCCTGGCAGAAGCACTGGACACAGGGCTTCCCATCAGGTGGCGTAGCCCTCGTGTTTTTCCTTGCACGTGGGCCTCTGTTGATGGATTTGGGAACAGGCCTTGCGCTGCGTGTTCTTGGTCGTTCCCTCTGATCTCGTTCCTCCCTCCCTCCCGTTCAGCGTGGAGCCTGGTAACTAGCAGAGTCCACAACACATGCGTACTCTGTCGCTTGCCTGCTTCAGCATCTCAGCAGAGAGGTCCACGGCTGCAATGTGTGCACGGGGAGCGAGATCCTTCAGCTGCTCACCCAGAAGACCTGTGCCTCGGCATCATCTCATCTCCAGTGAAGTTCTGTACCAGACAACCACAAGTCTCTCAGGCAAGGAGTGGGCGCAGCTTATGCCAGCGAGACACCTGCCCCCAAATCTAGGATGCGCTGCAGATGGCAGAGCTCTTCCTGACTCCAAAGTATCGCCTGTGCAGCGTGTCAGAGCCATTTCATAATGTACATGACAGACTGTTGGACCCTATGATGGCCTGAATGAGCAGCTGTGGAACTTGATAGCTCAGGTTCTCCAAGCTTTTCTCAAAACTCTTGGCATAGCAGTCAAAGAGGCTGGAGATGTAGGTAGCAGCAATTCGTGAGGGCGTCTCTTTCTGTATGACGCATAACAAGTGCTTGGCAAGCTGTATTCGAAGGTCTCTTTCGGCAAGCTGGGGCATCTGAAGTTTTCGAGCATGGGCAATCTCCTGCACACTCTGCTCTTCAGTAACTTCCTGCCCTTAACAAGTCTGAAGCATCCGTCCAGGTGTCTCTTGCAAGCAGATGAAGCTTCAGATCGCCAGTGGTCAGACGAGTCATTGCGGTGCCATCGCAGCCTCCACTTTGCCACCCCTCCCCCAAGCTGCTGTCAGGGCATCTTGGGCAGCTTTGCTGGGCTTGTATCAAGCAGTCAAGCAGCAGAGAGTGTGCCAGATGCAAGAAGGCCCGTTTATGTGAAGGCTTCCGCCGCGTCAGTCGCCTGAGCCATCGCAGTCGCACCTCAAGAGCACGGGCATCTGGTAGGACGTTCCAGGTTGAGGCATGCCTCTGGAAGTCCATGTTGTGGACGCGGAGGTCGACGCGTGGATGCAGTACATACTCTTTTTGGACGCCACCTGAGTTCACAGTCTTGCCGTTGCTGTCCGAGCAACAGAATGCAGCACGCCTGGCAATGGATCGCAAGTTTGCATGCACCAGGGAGCAGCGCCCGCGCATCAATCCACATGGCTCCGCTCAAAGGCTGTTCAGCGAATTCTTTGTGGCAGTCGGACGCTCAATCTTGTGCATGCTTGTATTTCATGCAGGCCTACAGTCAATTTGTTTTTCTTGTCGCTATTATCAGCGAATATTCCACCATCATGACTGAGACGGCTCCAGGGTGACAGAGTTCCGAACACCCTCTTGAAATGCAGCATTTCCCAAGTCCTCGTCGCCATGTGCCCACGTGCAGTTCTCACCGCGCGAGCACTGGCCCTGGCAAGACCAGGTCTGGTTGAGATCCAAAGCTACTGCCTACAAAAATTCCCCCGCCAAGAGTGCTTGTCAGCTCCTGAAGTATGGATGTGACAATCGTTGAATTATCAAGGCCAAGCTGGTTGCTTCCAATTCCAAGCGCTTCACGATATCCAACGCATCTCAATGGTTGCAGCTTGCCGGACTTGCTACCCGTGATGCATGTGAGATTTGTCGTCAAGACTTTCGAATAGCTTTGTCAATCATGAATGCACACAGTCGAAGTTTCATCCTGGTGCCACGTCAGGGCATCTCTACATCAAACCCGAAGGAATTGCCAGCTTCAATCCGCATCCCGACATAGCATCTTGCCCATTCCAGTTCAGCTTTGTTGAACTTGCAACTTGAGAATAATGTGCAATTGATCAGTGATGTTAAGTTGATAATTTTCACGGCTTGCCTCCAGCCAAAACTTGCAAATCGTCTTTTTCAAGGGCTGCTCTGCAACTCCCTTACCGCCGTTCCAGCCTTGGATCGATGTTTTCACACGGGTGCGGTGCACAAATACACTGTCTTCCCTTTCCCATGACTGCAAACAACATATGTTGTCAGGTGCTTTTTTCCGAAAAGGGAAGGATCTGATGAGTTGACAACCTTCCTGGCCATGATTCATACCGAACATTCTTGACATGTGAGAATTTACTGGCTGCTTCTTGTGTGCTAGCAGTATGACAAAATCAAGTATGCTTCCGGATTTTGCCCTGACCGGGCTCCGCTAACAGGCATCTCGTAGAAGTTGCAAACTTGCAGCATCATATGTTACATGTGTGCTGGAGCCGACTGGGTTGGGCACGGGGGACGTTTGAAGAGCGTCCCTTACTTGCATCCTTAGCATGTCCGGAGTTTGAGTTTTGGAAGCATCCCATGACCTGAGACTGGCACTTCTGCCAGTGAAGGGAGCGCCTGCAGGGACTGAAACGACGTGGTAGAAGACGTACCGCAAAAACTGCCTGGAAGGGGTCGCTGGTGAAGACCTTGCTGACACCAAAGTGGCTCAAACCTGACAGAGAGACCTCCTACCAGAGTTTTTCTGCTGCATTGATGCATCGGCGTCCAAGATTTCCAAGTTGCGAGCGCCCTGAAGCTGGTGAAGCTGGTGAGGCCTGAAAAGGCGGCATTGACGAGGTCTTGCTGTCAGGGCATGCAAACTATTTGCATCCTTTGTCTAGCTCAGTCCCAGAATGGAACACAGAAGAACTGCACCCAGACGCGCGGGGGCATTCAAGCCGGCACTAGTCCGTCAAGATGCCCTAGCTGCAGGTGAGCTAGCGTGAGAGAGAACGGGGTGGTGAAGCCTTGTTTGCAAACTGCACAAACCCTTGGCAAAGATCTTGAAAAGCTGAAGATTTTCCTGTGTCACCTACTTTGTAGAAGACTGATTGGTAGCAGGGTAGTGCCTCCTGCACCATCTCTGACCCGAGTCAGAGATATGTCAGCAACCCAGCGCTAGTTTAGACATCAACCTCAAGACATCTCAACACTGTCATCACATTGGCCAATTAAAGACTGCAGCATCCTTGTCAGGCCACATCTGGTTGTATCCTGCTGAGCTGTATGTCGACAGCGCACTCTCACCTGCGAGTACGACGTTGGCTTCACGGGTGGCCTCTGCAGTCGTAATCTGAGGAGATCGCAGCGAAGCACACCAGTCTTGAATCAGACAGGCTCGCTGTGCCGCTATGCGCTGCTACAGCAGGTCTGAGAGTCTGAGCACGGCATGGGATGCAGCCAGGCCCAGTGGCTGATTGTTGTGGGCGTTGTAGCAACCAGCTGTTTTCTCAGCTGCATGCGAGGGTGTCTTGTAAAGCCAGTGTACTCCTGGTCGAGTGGCTGTCAACACCTTTATTAGGCTGCTCAGCATGTCGATCTTTGATATGCAGTGGCTGGTCGAGGCCTGGGCAGGCTCAAAAGAACATGGGAGGTTCTCCAGCAACTTTGGCAGAGAGTGGCGCCGCATGCCCAAACACGCTGCGCTCAGCTCTCAGAACCTTCTCTTTCCGTGCCCCGGAGCATCCTCCACTTGTTTCCATTCCGTGTCTTTGCAAACCTTCTTTCCGCAACAGCACGCTCTGCCTTGAGGTTGGTCTAGCTGAGAGCTTCCGAGAGTTACACGAAGTTCAACCTTTCGCAGCCATTCCTGTCCGCCCTTCGGGGTCAAGCTGTCACCGAGGAAGCATCAAGTACAAGCCCCGTTCAGTGGAAGCAAGACTCGAAGCAGCCCTCGATCAGCTTTGCAGATTGGATTTGAATATGCTTGTATGAGCTTGTATGCAAGACCTCCTGCAGCATCGGAGAACCTGACCCAACAGCAGCCTCTTCGAACTCCACTAGGAGCATCACGAAAATGTCAGTGGCAGCATGCCTCCTTCATCCCGAAAGAGGAGGCCAACGAATTCGGTTGAGAAAGTATACAGCCATTTACAGAAGCGCTGCCTGGTGCTGGATTATGGCTGGCGTGCCACATGGTTGGAGTTGGAAAGTTGCCTGTCAAGAGCCTTCTGTTTGTGATGTTTACACGTTCCAAGTTCCAAGGGTTTACGGCTCCAAATGGCCCTTCAATCCCTGCTACTGCCAGCTTGAAAGCCTACGTGCATACTTCATGCTTTCAGTGCAGGTTCATTCCGAAGCAGCAAGACGTGGAAGCGGCAACCAGATGCGCACCATGGCTTCGATGCACCTACCTACGCTTGCACACAAACGGCCACAGGAATGTCAAGGCGAATAAGCGAATGCACGCCGTTTGGGGAACTCAAAAGGAGGCCCACCTCTTTGCCTCTGCCTTTTGCAAAGCCATAACCTGGAAAGGCAGATGCTGTCATTCTCCTGCACTGGCTCCAGAGTCGCGAGCCTAGAGGCTGTGATCGGGGTGGCCGTGCAAAGGGCTGCGCTGGCTCTGGCAGCGCAGCCGGAGGTGGCGCTGGAGGAGGCAGGGCCGGCACCTACAAAGGCAAAAAGGGCCTCTGAGGGAACGCTCCAGCCTCGAATCAGGGCTCTGACTCCCAGCTCTTCCTCGCCATGGGCCCACGTACACTCCGAGCCCCGTGCGCAGGTGCCCTGGGCCAGGTGCACCATGCAAAGTTCTACACTACCCCAAGCAGCACCACCTGCTCCCAGAATTTGCAGATGGTGCGCTTGGTGTTCCCACCACCTCCACCACCTGCGTCAGGAATATCAACATAGAAAGCACTGCACTGCCCCTCGGGGCTCGGCGCGCTCTGCACAGCTCGCTTTGGAACATGCACCAGAATGTCCGACTGTCCTGCCTGCAATGCCTGCAAATGCAGGCAGGAAGTCATCGCCACACAAAGCAACCGCTGGCCCTGTGACATTGCAGTGAGCTTGGTGCAGGCGTTCTTCGTAACATGCCATTAACCAGCATTCCTGTTCCACTCAGACTGGCCCGCCTTCAACTTTGGCCTGCCGAAAAGGTTCAGTCATGGGTGCCTGAGCTCACTCTCTCATTCAAGGCTGGCATCGGTAGCTGAACTTCAATGAGAAAGGATGTTTCAGATTTGAATGTGGTCGACTAAGAGATTGAGAAGTGGAATCCAGTTGGGGCAGAGGTCACTTCGTCCCCGTGCGGCAGAAACCCTTGCATCTGGGATACGTGATGTCTCAAATCTTCCTAATCCAGGTTCAGGCCCCAAAACAGCGAAACCCCTGGACAGTGTATTTTAGGGAAGCAACATGGTAGCTGGAAACAAACAACAGTACGGCTTGAGGTCATCTACGAAAGAGACCATCGTCCTAGAATTATCATTGCAAGATTGCCGGTCACCTTGTACAGGCAAATTCGCATCGCAACCTTTCCTCCTGCGCACGGCCAGCGGTCTTTAGCCAGAAGCTGACAAGCTTGAAGAAGACTGTGACGCACTGGAGGTCCACAACGCCAGGGCTCAAAGGCTTCTTTCCAGACGAAAAACCAGTTAGTGACATGCGCCACATCTTCCATGCAAAGCCAGACAAAAGCACCCATTTACTCCGGCGCAAAAGCACGTTGGTGTCAACAAAAATACCACACTTTGGAAGGCATGCCACTGCTTCAGTTGCGGCCAGCATCCAAGTGGCACCGCCTGGGCGAAAGGATGACAATTTGAAGTGAGGTTTTCCTGCGGCGGGTAGGCCAAACCTTGACTGCAAAGTATGCAACCTGCGACGAAGTGTACCG